GTGCGCAAACCCTCCCGAGTTACTCATGGTCGCCCTCTCAGAGCAAGCGTTTCGGGTGACAGCCGTGTTTCAACACCTCTCTTCCTTCCCAACACTGACGGACCAGCCCGACCGAAAGACCTCCAACGTAGAGGCAAGCATCGTAACGGAGTTGCGGATTCTGAGAGGGGCTTTGATAGCGGATTTTTTGGCTCGGAGGGAAGTCGGATATCCCGAGGACACGAGTCGCCCGATATTCCGCCTCCATTTTATCCCGAAAATAAACTGCGAAGCGCGCCTTTACAAGAACAGTCCGCTACAGAGACTGAAGATGAGAGACTCCAACCGACAACACCGAAAGTTGTACCAAAGTTAATTCCGAGAAATAGAGATCTGAGACGACGAAGGTCTTCCCTTCAGTCGCTCTCTGAAAGCGACGAAGACCGTTATCTCGAAACCACTCATTCTAAACCTTCGACGAGAACGCCTTCTTCTCAGAGAGAACGAAGGAGTCATCGGCACACTCCGACACATCCTGCCCCCCGATCGGATAACGAGGGGGTCCGAAGACTTGACGACACTTTACGAAAGCATGTATCTACCCCGAGCTTATACGATGGCGGTACAGGAGAAAGATCGGTGCAAAGCGCAGTGACGGGCCGAGCTTCAAGGACACCATCACGCCATGATAAGGCAACTGCTCCTGTAAGGAACACGGGTAAGAATTGTCGTCTTAATTGTTTCAGTAAAAATTAAGGATGAAAACAGACATTAGTAGATGTACGTTCAATTTGCGGTTTTAACCGTAAATGTTATCAAGATCATTCTCCGATGGTGAATAACAATACACATGTATATGTGCGGACTGAAAGTTTTATCGGAAAAGTTACTCCTTTTATGACGGAAGGGATAATAAGTAGTTATCGTGATTGTCAACGATCACTTTAAATTTGATTACTTTAATTTCTGTAATGAAGTAATGGTAACATCTGTGCAACAGAGATGTAAATAAAAACACAAGCTGAAGCAATGATACAGTTACGTTCTAAAAGTAATATCTCCTTTTCCTCTACTAAATTCTCTTAAAAACGAATATTCTCGATTTGCTTACTACTTTTTGTGTGCTGCATTTAATTGATGTTTTTCGAAAGACACTAGATACCCCGCTGTTTCGTGACGACAGTGCAATACTGTCCGTTATTCTGTTATTCTATTTCGAGTGTTTCCTAGTGTGTTGATTTTAGTGCATTTGTACACACATTCATTAAAATGTAATTTTCAAAGCCGACAGGTGTAACACGGTGATATTCTGTTCCCTGATTGTCCCGACACAGACTCTTTTGTGTTTTTGTCTCCTCTAAACTACAATGAAAAAACCGCGCTTGGTGTTTCAATCAACAAACTGTCGTTTTACTAACGTGGCGTTAACGTCGAATCATTTCTAATGCTGTGCAGGAGTTTTATCAAATATTACGGTATCGTGTTTTTCATTTTTCCTATTTTAAAATTAGTTTCTCCCGTTTCTTGATAACTGACTGACCGTTGCTCAATTTATGTAGGATCTTCACCGTATTTGGAGACCGGTCGAGGAAAACACTGGTTTTTGTTTTTAGGTATATTAGCAATATTGTTTATCTGCAATCCAATCAGAATTGATACTGTGTAGTTGCCGCCCGCATGCTTAGCGCAATAATATTTGAAATAATTCTCAACCGTTATCACCACGCGGGAATGGTATTTTCTGGTACAAATGGGAAGATATGTTCTTTATACGAGAAGGTCTTTTTGCAGGTAAATGCTGCACTGTGGGTGTAAGAAAACGGTTAAGAGTGTATTCGGCGCAGAGGATTTGAAAATGTTTGAATATTAATAATATATAAGCGTGCAGTGATATGACAACTAGCAGCAAGCTTATTAGTGGACATTTTACAAACGTTGTCGCTGTAAAATGTACTTTCCTGTCGAATCCTAAATGAATCAGGATGGATTAGACCAAGGTATCTTCTTGTGATCAGTTTTCTTCTTGTAGATTAGCTCTGAATCTATGGCAGCAGATGACTACATCAAAAATGTTACTCATGCATGTAGAGCGCTGTTTTCATCGCGAATTTCAACGGTTTTTGGTCCTGACATGGGTCTCACAACCCTGGTGTTCCAAAAGTGTTGTTTCTGGAAGAATGTCATGGTCTTCTCCATGAAATTCAGGGAACAGAACGGAAAGATTCATCCTTGTTTTCGATTTACGCTTAACTGCTGCACTGTATTGGATCGTCGATGTCACTGATATTGATCATAATAGTCTCAAGTACCCGCACTTCTGTAGCTCTCATTTACCTCCACCAAGTTTAACAGTAGGCAAATATTCTNTTGTTAATTTGCGCATTCTGGGAGGTAAATTATGCATTACATGCTAAGAAGGTGGGTTTACCACTAAAACTAAAAGGGTTTAAATTATAAGACTGGGCCTTAATGAAGCTTCACAGGAGAATATTTGTATGTCGTAAAACATATTATTAAAAGGGCTACCTTATGCTACTTTAGGTGATATTCAGCGGTGGATATACGTAGGTTTTAAGCCACCATACAACATAGAAAAACACAGCCAAGAATATTGAAAACCACAAGAGAAAATGTTGATGGCCATTCTGCGAAATCTCCATCGAGACTATAACATACTAACTTGCGATTACTTGATTTTTGTATTGCCAACACAAGCCACGTTTTGTTGATTTAAATCTGCATGAAAACTTGATGAATGTGGTAAAGTGATGACATTAGGGTATTAAATTGCTTCTAAATACAGAATACAATAAATATGGTATAGCTCGCTTGTACCTTAATCCATTTTTACAATTGTCTCTTTTTATAATCGTTTGTTAATAAGTTTACTGAATTGTGGCGTGCTTTCTTAACTGATATAATTTTATTTGTAGTTATGTACCATTTAGTATTGTAGAAAGTTCTTTCAAAGTTTTAAAGCTCTATTAGCCTTTTTGAACACGAGGAAAGCATTTGTTCGTGGGAAACGTTTAGTTTGTTCCATCCTTAATGCTTACCAGTGTGATTCCTTGTAGAGCCATTTGTGGATTTTGTGAATAAATGCAAACAATATAAATATACGATTTAATTAAACATGTTATTGTTGTCTGAAATAGTCAATATGTAAACTTTATGCAGTGTTTCTATTTAGTGTATATCGAAATATCTTTGCTGTTGCCCAGGAAAATAAATTTGTTTCAAGCTCTCCATAATCCATAAGCCACAAACTCCAGTTTCAAGCACAAAACTAATGAACGAAAATAATCGCATAAGCCGTTGTTGCCCGTAAACACAGCAAAACAATGTTAGAATGGACAAACAGCCACATTGGTTGCCCGGGCAGGTGTATCCTAGAGATATCCAACGGGCAGGTAGATAAGTCAATATAACATATGGTAATTTTTCGGAACGGTGTTTAAATCTATGTTGGTGTAAGGAAGGTGTTTGGAAGAGATCTCTGAAAACGATCAGAAAATTGAGTATGGCGTCGACATCCCCTTTGGAAAGTGACGGCGAGGGAACCGAAGACGAAGAAATTGTGAAAATCCTACGCTGGGCCGCCTTAATGTAATTTGCTTCTTGGATATTTTTTTTGCTTTAAAGTGATTTACATTTTAGGAATTAATTTTATCGTTCAGGACAGTTACGAGTATTCTGCTTCTGGTTACTTCTCTAAAGAATGGCTGTAGCGATTTGCAGCATTTAAGAAGAATGTTTTAGAAGAGTCAAAGAGTCGAATTTTATCACCTGTAATGTTTTGTTTCATCATTTTCGTGTGGCGTTTTCTCCGAGACGGCGTTTGACTGTATCATTGTGTTGTTTGTAATCTTATCATTCAAAGTATCAAAACGAAGCCTGTTAGGGTTGTTTATGGCATAAGCCAGGGTAACTTCGTACTGTGAAACTTAGCTATTGCGTGTCTCGTTTGTGGTCTGCGAGCGGTAGAGATTATCCACTCTTATGCATGTCGCAATTTATTGATCCTTGTTATAAAACAATATTTTGATTTTTAATCGATTTGAGTTATTCTACGATTATTAGAGGTTCGGATCACTGTAAGAGTTTAGTTAGGTCTTAAATGGCATGTAAATCAATGTAAAAGTTTTGTTAGCTATTACTGAAAACCTTTCATCGAGCTGAAAACCTGTCGGCTGTATGTATGGTTTTTGTGCATTAGTAAAAAGCCTAAAGACCTCCCATAGAGTTCATCAAAGGACTAAGAATTACATGTACTCAGGGGGGTTTCATGTTGCACGCCTTTCCATCTAGTGTATGCTTTGAAAAATTGATCCTTTTAATAGCTTATCGTTACAGCATTTCCATATGGCTTTTCTAACAACTGTCTACGTTAGACAAACCTGACTTAAGTGATGAAATATAGCGTTACAGCGTGTTGCTTGCCTTGTGAATGCGAAAATAAAGTGCCAAAAGATGAAATTTAATTCAAGTGTAATTACAGGTTACTTGAACAGAACCTGGACTTCGGTAAAATAAATCAGTTAGTGCATGGTGTATTTCCAATGTGATGATGTTTGGAAACATTGGAGTTGTGTTTTGGTTGTTCGAGAAAAAGGAAACGCTAATTCTACGTTTTCTTGTTAACGTTTTGAGTTCATGCTCCATTGTCAGTTATGGTCTATATATTTAGTTATTTTTTTTCTTAATTCCTTTTTCAGAGAAGGAAACAGCTCGGAAGATGTGGAGGACCTTGATTTAAATTCAGCTGAAAGAGAAGGTGAATATTCAAGACGGTTTTCTTTGGGTAAGTGACACCTTTTCCTTTGACTGTTTAGGATAAATCAGCCACAGAACGTTACTAAATTTCTATAGAAAATACTGAGCTCTTAGTTTCTTTTCTGAATGTGTTTTGAGGGCAATAGAAACCCCGTTTTTAGCTTTTCAGAGAAGAATTTTTTTTAATGATAATTCATTCCTTAAAGATGCTTAATGTTTTCCGAGTGATTTCTTTCTGTTCCAATAATGGCTGTGATTAGTAGTTTGGGAATGCGCATATTAAGTGTCATGTTTATATTTGGCTGCAGGTCCTCTTCCAGATAGTGATGCGGAGGATAAACAGGTGAAACATATTTTAAAATACAATCCATATCATTAAGCTTTCTCCCCTCGATTTTTTCTTCAACGTTGCAGTACAACTTCGCTCCTAAGGTGACGCTAACTTTTGTTCAGTAGAATCTAAGTGACCCAGACAAAACTGATAATTTTGATATATGCAGATTAAAGTCGGTTTTAGAACAATAACTTCACACTCAGCGTGGTATGATACCATTATTTCCATTTTTTGTGAATTTATTACGCGAGGTGGCGTCCATTTTTCTGAATTTCTAATTGAAAAAATGAAACTTTCTGTCTGGAGAAACTTGTGCCTAAAGTGCACTTATATTCTTGTCTGTTGTTATCCCACGAATATTGTTGTCAGAGGCTATACTTCTTATATGACGATATTGGTTTCTTGACGGGATTTAAAAACGAAGTTACCTGGCGTAACATGTGGCATTAAATACATCAAAACAGTGAATTATTAGCCAATCAGCTGCCGTTTCCAAGCGCATTCTTTGGGATGCCGTTTGTAAGAAATAGCGGTAGAGTTAAATTACGTAAACAATATTCATTCAAAATTTTATCGCTCTAATGCGAGCGACGATGTTTTTAAAGCCAGTCCAATACGACCGTCAGGTTGAGCATATTAAGTTGTTGCGTTTGGCGTAAAAAATATACGGTCCAACATTACGGCTAGCAAATATTTGGAAATGCTTACTCGTGACAAATTTCCTCTAAGGTTTTCTTCGAAACGTGCTACGTGGTCTTGTGTAATTTGGTCGTGAAGCGCTTAGCGTTTTTGCAATCTGAACGTTGGAGGTTGCGTGTGATAGCGATGGATTGTGTTGGAAACGACGGCTCCGTAGAAGAGTTTTATTTGGTGCTCTTAGATGGAAGATTGGAATATTCGGTGAGAATTTCTTGCTGAGAAGCCTTTCGCTTCTCGTGTATACATGCAGCGGTTAAGGAATTTAAATGTACGCTTTAGGTGTTGCTAAAATAACCCAACATGACGTCCTCATTGGATTGGAGGATTTCTTTTCTTGGAAGAAAGGCCAAAGTAGCTATAGGGTTAAATAACTTAATTAAGAACTCCTCACTTTCTTTTTTGTTTTTAACGGCTTGATGTTCTCTTTTTTATTTTTCACCAGGAGCTTAGCGACCAGCACGAACCTCTAGACCTACAAGAGTCTGGGTACTTCGCGTCCGAATCTATGAGTGTCGTTCATGACCCCGCTTCTGAACCCCTGTCGAGTCAGTACTTCGCCAACAGTCAAGGGCCACACGATAGGTCACGAGCGGGCTCCTTGCCGCACACGAGGTAAAATAATTTTCACACTCTTTTTCGATAGCTTGCTTTCTCGCGAGAAAAAGTTTCGATCATATCGAGTGTGACACCTTTACTCTTTTTACCATGAATACTTGTTTTGTTTGAAAGACCAACAAGAATTGTAAGAATTATTACATCGTCCAGGCAAGTGGTAAGAACTTGGACTCTTGTGGTGTTTTGTACATACGTGATATCGAGTTAAATTTGGGTTGAAAAAAGTAAGTTTGTCCTGAGGGTAAAAAAAATACCAGGATGGCTAAGATTGATGTAGATTGACTATAAAATGTTTAAGCAAGCAACCGGAACGATGATCCTGCTGGAATACGTTGGATCAATAGTGATCTAATCGGCTTCACATATAAAATGAAGAATACAAAAGCAAAAACCGACACAACGTAGGATGATTTTTTGAAGGTGTACTATATTACGGCTGAATCCAACGACTGTGTTGGATGCATCGTTTGTGGTGTTGAAATGGTTGTCGCATCTCGTGTTTGTCTAATTGAGCTATTTTTTACTGACCCCAACAACCCATAACCAAGCAGGTCTCGGACAATAACACTCTTTTATCCTTTTCAGTTCACAGCGGTCGAGAACCAACAGTTACCGCAGCCGTGCCAACACAGAAGACATGGATTCACCCCTAGAAGACGACGGCGACGATTTGCCTTCTTCTAGCTTAGCTTCTCCTCAGACCTCCCCTGGCAGTTCGAAGTCACCTCGAGCCTCTTCTAGTCCTGTGCGTAACAGCGTGAGTGGAATTCCTCCTCCACCACGACGCCAGGACAGTCGCCTGAGTGAATCCAGTAGCAGACGATCACGTGCCAATTCAAAAGCGTCACGCCTGCCACGGTCCAGCGTTGTTTCCGATCACGACAGCTCACGTGACCCCGTGATCGCGGCTGAGCCAGATGAACCGTTTGAATCACGTGATCGCACCGCCAGTACCCACAGTTCTCCACGTGAACAGCACGTGCCACAGGAACCGCGAAACAGGAGAAACAGTGCGCGAGAACCGCCACGGACTTCAAACGGATTACACGATGAAAGCGTGCGCAAACCCTCCCGAGTTACTCATGGTCGCCCTCTCAGAGCAAGCGTTTCGGGTGACAGCCGTGTTTCAACACCTCTCTTCCTTCCCAACACTGACGGACCAGCCCGACCGAAAGACCTCCAACGTAGAGGCAAGCATCGTAACGGAGTTGCGGATTCTGAGAGGGGCTTTGATAGCGGATTTTTTGGCTCGGAGGGAAGTCGGATATCCCGAGGACACGAGTCGCCCGATATTCCGCCTCCATTTTATCCCGAAAATAAACTGCGAAGCGCGCCTTTACAAGAACAGTCCGCTACAGAGACTGAAGATGAGAGACTCCAACCGACAACACCGAAAGTTGTACCAAAGTTAATTCCGAGAAATAGAGATCTGAGACGACGAAGGTCTTCCCTTCAGTCGCTCTCTGAAAGCGACGAAGACCGTTATCTCGAAACCACTCATTCTAAACCTTCGACGAGAACGCCTTCTTCTCAGAGAGAACGAAGGAGTCATCGGCACACTCCGACACATCCTGCCCCCCGATCGGATAACGAGGGGGNCTGTTGGAGTGTTACTGTGCTATAGTAGCTATCGATGATGTTCAACACATCAAAATAACTAAAGTTTCTTAGGTACTCTGCGGCATCGCCGTTCGTAAGGCCTCCCTCGAATGAGTTTCGCAACTTCTTCGAAGGGCAATTGTACAGAGCATGCAACATAATTTAATAACAATCTGGTTTTTGTGATTGATTTTTATAATTGAGGACATGTTTCTCTTAGTTACTCATTTCGTCGGTGTAACATGCAGCTTGTCGATGTAATTGCTAATTCTTGAAATCGAAGCGCAGTGACGCCATTTTCTTTAATTTCCAAGGGAAATGAAAAACAGCGGGTCAACAGTTTTCTTATGGTAGTTTTTACAACACTTGTTTGCCATCTTTTTCATAGGCCCGCGGATAGATCAGTCCCGACCAATGGATAAGCAGAGCGTACGCAGTTACCCGGGTGACCGTGAATCCGTGCGGTCAGGAAGGCGGTCAAGGAGAGGTGACGACAGCAGCAGTGGATACAGTGACAATGAGAGGAGATACCGCAGGTCAGTGTCACGATCAACTTCTGATTGAGAATTAGGCGGTGCATCAGGACACTTTACTGTGGCTAAAAAATAAAAATAACTTTTTCCAAACATTCTAGAGAAAACGGGTGGTTGCGTCTGTTGGTATATTTTATTTAGCATAGTGCTATGTTAGTCTTGATTGCGCTCTAAGAATTTTTCCGTACATTTTTCACAGGGATCCAGTTGACAAGCTAAGAGGTGAACTGCAGAGCTTACGTGCCCAGCTGCAGCAAGACACGAATGCTCGTGGATTGCAGGCTCAGATGTACGACGACCTTCGACGAAGGCACGACGATCTCGAACGAGAAATGGCACGACGAGGTGCCGAGCAACAGATGGCGAGCATGTACGACAACCTGCAGAAAAAATACGATGCTCTGGCGAACGAAATGTCACGGAGCAGAGAAAGTCCAACCAACCCTTCACCTTACGATGATCTTAGGAGACGTATAGAAGAACTGGCAAGGGATGTAGGCGAGCTGAAGCGAAGAGAATACGACCGACCAGCCCCGGCACCTTCGCCAACACCTTCCACACCAGCCCCAGCATCCGCACAAGTGCCCGAGGTGCACACAATGCAGTTTTTGTGTCCATTTTGTGGAGGTTCGGGGAGTCATAGTCACGGGAATTATTTCTATCCGGGTTATTCTGGCCCACCCCAAGGAACCCCGGCGGCAACCTCAGAGACATCTTCCTCGCGGCCGCGTCGTCACACCGAGACGCAAACACCGTACACTCCGGGACTAACAAACACTTTTGTTCATCATCCTACAACCCCTGCAGCGGCGTCTACACCCTACTCACCCTACTACCACAAGTAAGTGACAGGTGAAATTTATAAACTTATATTATGACGAGAAAAAACCACTCGATAAAAGAACCCCTTTGCCCTTGAAAACTGCTTTATATCATTATTTTCTCTCGTGTTTTGTTTTAGTGTGGTTTCATCGCCTGTTCATCATCATACTAACACATATCCCGGGGCGACAACGGGGACACCCGTGATAACCACCGGAGTGGTACCCGGAGTGCCCGTGGTACCACCCAGAGTTGTAACCGAGTCACCAACAGTACATCACATCCATCATCTCCCCCGGGGGAAGTCCAGGAGTCGGCGAGAGCACCAAGTGTCTGACAGTGAAGATTCCGAAAGTGACGAGGAATACCCTGCACAAAGAAGGTACAACTTTACAATCCTTGAATTGTGTCATGTTTCTGTTATTGATGCTTTACCAGTTTTTGGCGTCCAGAAAAAAGCGAAGAAGTTAGTCCAAAAGTTCATTTGTAATTTTAAAATATTATTCTCCTTACGAACTACCTAACAGTATCTTTTACTTTAGGTCTTAGTGTTTGGTGGTACATGAAGGCAATATTCTTTAGCTGATGAGTGTTATCATTCCCATCAACTCTGCCCGACAGTGTACTGATACTAATTTATATTAATCTTGGGAATTGAAGGTTTCGACCACTAGTTTCCTCTGTTTTGAAGTACAGCGTTTTACCGTGGTAACCTCGGTCCGCTCTAGATGTGGTGTTTTCCAGTGTTGAACACAAGCCTTGGTTTTTGAGCGATTCACACTGTTTCGTTATTGATGTTTCAACCTCTTTCTTATAGCAGGCATGTCCGAGTTAGAAGTAACACAGGCAATCATAGCAGCTGGGGAGGTTATCTAGGAGATGAGGTGAGATTTTACTTCCCATGGTACATTTTTTAAAAAACGAATAAAACAGACTGTTTGAAAGTCCAATTCCTAACCTCTTACCTAATGTGTTTGTTTTCTAAACTGTTGCTCTATATTTAAACCTAAACTCGCTTTGTTCGTCAGAGACGTTACGTACCAACCGGCCAATCGTTATGACGTCATGATGACGTTACATTATTTGGAGATCTCTTTAGTGTAGTGCGATTGGACGGAAAGAATCCGAAACCCTTTGACTTCTGGTAAGACTCGCATTCCCCTACTACCTGTATCATGCATAGGCTCGATTACCAGCNGAAGGGCAATTGTACAGAGCATGCAACATAATTTAATAACAATCTGGTTTTTGTGATTGATTTTTATAATTGAGGACATGTTTCTCTTAGTTACTCATTTCGTCGGTGTAACATGCAGCTTGTCGATGTAATTGCTAATTCTTGAAATCGAAGCGCAGTGACGCCATTTTCTTTAATTTCCAAGGGAAATGAAAAACAGCGGGTCAACAGTTTTCTTATGGTAGTTTTTACAACACTTGTTTGCCATCTTTTTCATAGGCCCGCGGATAGATCAGTCCCGACCAATGGATAAGCAGAGCGTACGCAGTTACCCGGGTGACCGTGAATCCGTGCGGTCAGGAAGGCGGTCAAGGAGAGGTGACGACAGCAGCAGTGGATACAGTGACAATGAGAGGAGATACCGCAGGTCAGTGTCACGATCAACTTCTGATTGAGAATTAGGCGGTGCATCAGGACACTTTACTGTGGCTAAAAAATAAAAATAACTTTTTCCAAACATTCTAGAGAAAACGGGTGGTTGCGTCTGTTGGTATATTTTATTTAGCATAGTGCTATGTTAGTCTTGATTGCGCTCTAAGAATTTTTCCGTACATTTTTCACAGGGATCCAGTTGACAAGCTAAGAGGTGAACTGCAGAGCTTACGTGCCCAGCTGCAGCAAGACACGAATGCTCGTGGATTGCAGGCTCAGATGTACGACGACCTTCGACGAAGGCACGACGATCTCGAACGAGAAATGGCACGACGAGGTGCCGAGCAACAGATGGCGAGCATGTACGACAACCTGCAGAAAAAATACGATGCTCTGGCGAACGAAATGTCACGGAGCAGAGAAAGTCCAACCAACCCTTCACCTTACGATGATCTTAGGAGACGTATAGAAGAACTGGCAAGGGATGTAGGCGAGCTGAAGCGAAGAGAATACGACCGACCAGCCCCGGCACCTTCGCCAACACCTTCCACACCAGCCCCAGCATCCGCACAAGTGCCCGAGGTGCACACAATGCAGTTTTTGTGTCCATTTTGTGGAGGTTCGGGGAGTCATAGTCACGGGAATTATTTCTATCCGGGTTATTCTGGCCCACCCCAAGGAACCCCGGCGGCAACCTCAGAGACATCTTCCTCGCGGCCGCGTCGTCACACCGAGACGCAAACACCGTACACTCCGGGACTAACAAACACTTTTGTTCATCATCCTACAACCCCTGCAGCGGCGTCTACACCCTACTCACCCTACTACCACAAGTAAGTGACAGGTGAAATTTATAAACTTATATTATGACGAGAAAAAACCACTCGATAAAAGAACCCCTTTGCCCTTGAAAACTGCTTTATATCATTATTTTCTCTCGTGTTTTGTTTTAGTGTGGTTTCATCGCCTGTTCATCATCATACTAACACATATCCCGGGGCGACAACGGGGACACCAGTGTTAACCACCGGAGTGGTACCCGGGGTGCCCGTGGTACCACCCAGAGTTGTAACCGAGTCCCCAACAGTACATCACATCCATCATCTCCCCCGGGGGAAGTCCAGGAGTCGGCGAGAGCACCAAGTGTCTGACAGTGAAGATTCCGAAAGTGACGAGGAATACCCTGCACAAAGAAGGTACAACTTTACAATCCTTGAATTGTGTCATGTTTCTGTTATTGATGCTTTACCAGTTTTTGGCGTCCAGAAAAAAGCGAAGAAGTTAGTCCAAAAGTTCATTTGTAATTTTAAAATATTATTCTCCTTACGAACTACCTAACAGTATCTTTTACTTTAGGTCTTAGTGTTTGGTGGTACATGAAGGCAATATTCTTTAGCTGATGAGTGTTATCATTCCCATCAACTCTGCCCGACAGTGTACTGATACTAATTTATATTAATCTTGGGAATTGAAGGTTTCGACCACTAGTTTCCTCTGTTTTGAAGTACAGCGTTTTACCGTGGTAACCTCGGTCCGCTCTAGATGTGGTGTTTTCCAGTGTTGAACACAAGCCTTGGTTTTTGAGCGATTCACACTGTTTCGTTATTGATGTTTCAACCTCTTTCTTATAGCAGGCATGTCCGAGTTAGAAGTAACACAGGCAATCATAGCAGCTGGGGAGGTTATCTAGGAGATGAGGTGAGATTTTACTTCCCATGGTACATTTTTTAAAAAACGAATAAAACAGACTGTTTGAAAGTCCAATTCCTAACCTCTTACCTAATGTGTTTGTTTTCTAAACTGTTGCTCTATATTTAAACCTAAACTCGCTTTGTTCGTCAGAGACGTTACGTACCAACCGGCCAATCGTTATGACGTCATGATGACGTTACATTATTTGGAGATCTCTTTAGTGTAGTGCGATTGGACGGAAAGAATCCGAAACCCTTTGACTTCTGGTAAGACTCGCATTCCCCTACTACCTGTATCATGCATAGGCTCGATTACCAGCCGCTGTTCGGGAAAGGAGTCCGCGCTCCTCCCCCGAACTCGGGGAGGACGTAGACCGGACTCGAGAAAGCGACGAAAATCGAGCCTATATCATGCACAGGAAATTGGACTTTTGCCAAGGGCAAGTTTCTTGCTGTTGAGTTCTCCCAAAGTGCTAGAAGACTGGAGTAAGACTATTGGCAATTAACACAACTGTTTTCTTTTGGCAGTTGGAGAGTTATCGACTCCACCAATCACTGGACGTAGCCAACAAAGCCGCAAGAAGAATGCAGCACATCTCCAAGAGAATGCTCAGCAATATCGCTTCCGACTTGATACGATCCGGCAAAAGATAGTATCCAAATGTTTATTCTTATATTACACTAACAATCGTATTCACTCGCGCTTACCGTTCACAAAAAGAAAGATTATAGTTTTGAATTCCCGAAACATTCTCTAAACGTATTAGAGACGTTTGCTGGAAACAGCTAGAGATTTGCTACGGAAGACATATACAAAGGCCAGCTAAAACGTTCGGTCCAGATTTCGTCATTTCAAAGGCTTTTTTCCTACAGGAATCAGGCCAAACACTACAGATCTTTCTGCTTTCTACGACTTTTCCAATTCATGCTTTTGAAGTCGTTGGGTTAACCTTAAGATGGTTTTAGTTATCTGGGGTTAAACTGTCTGAAAGTCTTACTAATTAACTTGGGCTCCAAAAGGTTACCAAAGCTCGCTTCCTTGATTAAGAACTATACCTAATTACCAGTTGCAACAACTTTGAAGAAGTCAATACCGATACGTACGCATATGACAATGTAAAAGTTGCTTGTAGTCATTCACCCTTTAACTCATAAAATTTCTTAAAACATCGAAACACGGGCACTGTTCAACAGTTTTCACTAGAATGGCTACATGCTACCTTATACAGCATTATAAACAGTATCACGTGAGAGCACTACTCGATAGCTTATATTTGCATGGTCATGCACGAGGTTTGATGCACAAGGTTAATGTTAGAACAACCAACCCTGTACAACGAAATAGAGGTAGTAACAGAAGGTTATATTGCTAATACATTATAAACTTCTGGTGGTACCTCATGAAAGTATTTCTCAAAAGGTTTTATCTGAATGGTTAGAAGAGTTTCTTCAAAAGACTTAGCATTAAGAACGACATTATTTGACTTGGGAATTTCCGATTCTCTCGTCTGCGAAAAGAAGACATATTACACATTGTAACTTAAGGGAAAAATATATAATTAGTTAAGTGTTTATTTTTGTACTCTCTAACCAATATTCTACATATCTTATTTTATATTATTTTATTTATTCGTCACATTGTAAAGTTTTTACTCCAAAGATGCATTCGCGTATGCTAGATTATTTATGCATCCGTAATATATTAACATTACGTTTATTCTTTCAGTTTCAAATTTTGTAAGATCGGTCGCGTGTTAATTTTTAAAGCTATAAAATTGTTTCAAATTCGGTTTGTAACGCATTGCGCACATGAAATAATTAAATTTCAGAGGAAAAATAGCGATTTTGGTTTTACATTATGCCAGTTAAAAAATGTTGTAATTTTAGTGAGTATCAAGACGTTGACATAAACAGATGATTTTATAACATTTTTGCATTTCATAGTGTCCTTATAATGACAACCTTTTCCGTGTCACATCTCCCTTTTTTCACGTCTTTCATTTTTTCCTTCGTACATGTTTCAACATGTACGAAGGAAATGGAAAATCAAACCACCCGCACGCAAGGTCAGTACATGTGCTTGCAAGTATTACTCCCAATCCTGGTCAATCCTCAAAGGGATTTTAATAGCGCTCATTTATTAAAACAAGAGAACAAACCATTTCCACCCCTACCAATTTCTTACTTCGATCTGGCTTCCTTCGCAGTCCATCTTTGCGTCGACCTCTACACAACGTTGCGATACAACGATTGGGTTCGAATGGCCAATTTCAATTTTTGAGAGTCATGGTAGTTGTATTTATCAAAAGAAATACCTAGTCCATGATTCACCCTGTAGGCGCGTCTCAGAGGGAATTGGGAATTAGATTCACCCTGTTAAATTGGATTTAAATTGACCTAGGACTGCTTATCCTAAAACCTCTTCGTCTTCGCCAACACGCCTCAAGGTGAACAAATTTGTCTAGAAAAAGCGTTCACCTTCATTGTTGTGTACACCAATTCAGGTTTCGATTGGACAAACCACAGCAACCACACACCTATTTTGCCCTGACATGCCGGGAACAAAAATTCGGGCGCAGGAAAACAACACTCGGTGTGGAGCAAGGCAATAATTTAATTCAGTCTTAAAGTAACCTATCTATTATCTTGGGCTTTATTTTATCCCGCTTGTTCTCCCCAAAGAAGAGTCACTCCAGCAGCCACCACCGCCACAACAATGCCAACAACTGCGCCTGCAGAGATACAAATTACAGAGCAGAGTGAGTCAGAGTGAAAGACAATCATTCGTTTTACAACTATAAAGAGAGCTCTGTCCGTCTTCTAATCAGCTTCATGTACCCGGTCCCAGAGGTTTTCAATCTTTTCCTTTCCCAGTCAGACTTTTGCAATAGCCTTACTGCAAAAAGACGAACGATCAAATGTGCCCTTCTACTTCAAGACATTGAATAATTTTTTGAACTTTTCCCTGTGTAAGAGCTCACGCGAAGGCATGGAGTAGCTCGTCTTCACCTTGTATTCACGACGTGCACGTTGATCCCAATTACCGATTAATAGCGCAGACCAACAATAATTATACCAAGGCAAAGGCACAGTAAGATCAAGGACTCTTACGTTCTGCCCACTACATGACACATCAGGTAAAATTACTGGGGGATCATAGGCAGGGGCGTAGCCAGGGGAGGGTTCTAGGGGTTCTGGAACCCCCCTTTTGGGTTATGAAAATGGATATTATTTCAAGAGGAAAAAAAGTATCGGAACCCCCCTTTCGAAATACCACGAGACGAGATTTTCGTTTTTTAAGAAGAACAAAAGAAAATCAATTTAAGGTGGCTCAAATCAGTTTTTAGCGCTTAGATTTTGGTGGATCGTTATAACCACNGCTTCATGCTACAGAAACCGGGATAAGCTCCGGCCTGATGGGCCACTTGGCTCGCATGCAGACTTTACCTTACCTATTCAAAAAGGCTGGCTACGCCCCTGATAGGAGATGCACTGGGGTGTTAATCCCCACCCTCGGACTTTCCCAGGGTCGTTTTTTGGGGGGCCAGGAGCTCACCTATTACTCGCTTTCCAATTCCTTGTTGGACTGGATCGTTGTCCGTCATCTTGTTGTCTGCGCTGTCAGTTTCCATTTCTTCTACTAAACTTCTCACTGCTTCTACATCTACAGGGTACAACACACAGAAGTTTAGACTACGCAGTGAGCAGAAACTTTGTAAACCATAAGCAGTCAGTTGCTGCCTGCGAGGAAATTTTCTCCCCAGCCATTATCTGGGTGATCCAAACAAAAGCTGTGGAATAGACTCACTGAGAACACTCTTTTTCTCAAAAAACAAAACAACAACAACAACAACAACGACAAAAACACCAACAACAAGAACGCGTAAACAACAGTTCAAAGAAAAAAGGCGCAGATTTTAATTTTTTTTAAACAACAAAATCTTGAGTTTACGAGAGGATCGCCACATGAATCATCAAGTTGAGTGAATCTGATGAGAATTCAGTAAACCAAAGTAGACTTTCAAGCACCATGTAACACAGCAAGAACTTGACCCAAACAAACAAACAAACAAACAAACACCTGTCCATACACTGTACCTGGGAATTCTTCTCTTCAGTCAAAGTCTTCTTCTTTGGGATCGACATTTAACAGTTCTGCCATTCGTTCTCTAGATTCCTGCAGAGAAATTTCAAAAAGTAAGGAAGTTACCACCAGTCAGTGCTTCACCTGTAAATCTGAATTTGAATCTTAAGTCACAAAGAGTTCGCCTTATCAGTTCTCAGATGGTGTGAGATCATTCGTTCGGAGGAAGTTTGAGCGAGCGACCTTGGACCGTCTGAAAATCAGGCTAGCCAAGAGTCGGTGTTAACAACCTTGAAAGTTTCGTCCTTAAACACATAGTCGCACACTGTAACGGGTCCGGCTCCGAGAGGAGCAAACACTCTTTGAGGAGACGTCCATGTTGACGAGAATGTCTCTGAGCCAAAAAAAATAAATGAAAGCGAAAAATAGAAAATGAATTAGATGCATTTCACACTTTACTTATACAGGAAGTCTTCGTTAACTCTGGGTAACCTTAGTCCTAGAAACACCATGAGAGCACCGAATGGAAGTACTCACTAACATGATTTTATGCCATGTACCTACCGCCTCCTCACGAAACAAGACATAAGCCGTTATGTTATTTTTTTTCACTTCAAATAATGTGGCAACGAGTTTCTGTAAACCTCTCCATCCAAAGTTGAAAATATCACTTTTCCTTACTCATGGTGGTACATTTGTATTAATATTAGTTCTGGTAATTTTGTATTACATCACGAAAATATTCCCTCGTTGATTTTCTCTACTCTCACGTGGTCTATATGTATAAGGCCTTAACAATACAATGTCCATGGATGTATTTAAATCACATGCAGTATAAATGTACCGTTAGTTGTTTTCTCCTCCTGACTGTCCATGACATCTTCGCACAGTACTTCACAACGAGACAGGAAACTGCGAACCGCATCATACTTCAACGCCTCCAAAAAAGAAATGCCAAAACTTGGTTTCAAACTTGGTTTCATAAATGTTTTAAGTTGATTTTTGCAATAATATGTTTGTAGGTTTGTCATCGTTAGCCCGTCAAGGTTAGATTTCTTCCGAAGAAGTGGTACACATATGTACATTAACACAGTCACTTGAAATCTAACACCTTTGTTCGTCGTTAACGGTCGATGTTCATCGCAAATTTGATAGCGTAGCAATCGGCATAACTCTCACTGTCTCTACGAACCTTTTCCCAACAACCTAACTGAAACGCCTTTATAACTCGTGGTCGGTACTTTCCCTCGAGCCTCATCCCTAATATCGCGCTGTCATTCATAACGCGCGCTAATTTTGCTTTTCGCTAGAAGGTCTTCTGAGATTGTAGTAAGTAACAAGTTCTCTCAGTGTATTCATTGAGAGTCACTAATCGAAACAAATTTGACCTGACATACCGAAGACAGATTTCTCTCAGCCACTCTACGGCATACCTTGCCATTCTCGGAATCCCGTTAAAAAAGGAAGAAATGAATATTACTTATAACTTTTCTTGATGAATCTATGTATAAATGATCGACAGCATACCTGTATGGCCTCCTTGACAGTAGCTTTCTGATGCACATAAGCTCGACAAGACATAGAACCACTCATTACTAGAGAAGCAACCGTCTGTGTCTCCACTGGATCTAGAGGACCACACGGCTGCAAATAGAAATTCTTATTAATTCAGATACAAGGTTTAATTTTCTTTGCAATGAAAATAAAAAGAACAGAACTTGTGATGTCTAAAACAAGTCAAGAGAACAGTGAGTTACCTCTTCAGTAAAAATGTCAATCTTAAAAGTCTGTGTGGATTTAGAAGCAGCATGACTAGATTTTCCTGGCTTTTGTCCAGATACAAGTGGCTGGTCATCAGTACAAAGCTCTCCATTCACTGTGCATAAGGCAGTTGATATACTCTGTAGCGTGTTCTGGATACTACCCTGTTGATTTAAAATAGCAATGCTGCTTAGCAGAGAGGCAGTCTAAATATTCGTAGTAAAGCTAGCAACATACTGTTGAACCCTGCTGTTTTGAACCTTTCGGGAAAATGAAAAATAGTTCAAACTAATGAAAGTTCAAAATACAGTGTAGCTGATAGCAGATGAATAGAGGGCAAATTCAGGGGAAATCATTTTGTGTTCGAAATAATGATGTTTTAGAAATGCTGAGTTCCAATTAGTGGGGTCCAACAGCTTATTGTATACATTAAATGTAGTACACAACAGTATTATTAACTAATCATAACTTTCCACGCTGTTGTAACATGTACACATTCTCATCCCCAGAGGCCACAAATCCTTTCAGTTAGCACCAACAAGTGGCTTACATCAGTTAACTGAATTTTAATTCTAATAGCCTTTTAATTAAAGGGGAAATATAGATAAAACAGTAGATAAGAGGTGGGTGAGGAATAAAATACGAAAAAAGAGGGAAAACATGCCACCAAATAGACTTAATCTCCAGCATGATAGCACTGCTGCCTGCAGGTTGGAGGTACAGTCACACGCATTTTAAGCAGCCACCCCTTAAATGGCCACCCCTACTAGGTGGCCAGTTATCAAAGCCCTGATGAGGGCTTTTCTATTGTTTTTACACTGTACCTCTATAAAGTGGCCAGCCTCCTTAATTAAGCAGCCATTAATCAAAATTCCCAAGTGTGGCCATTTATTAGGGGTAAATTGTAGTCTATTTTGGTGTCCATTCATCAACCTTTAACTAAAAATCTATCCATAAATTAAGAATAGAGATGAACAAACCATTATTTGGTTTTGAAGACCAGATCTTTCAAGTTTTCTTGGAACTGTAAAGTGTGTGTTAGACAAGGACAATGAGGTTTCTAGTTTTAGCCACTTGGAAGTAAAGGACTGATACTTGACCTCAGCTGGGTTTGGTGTGGCCTGCAACATGTAAATACAAGAAAAATTATTTCAAGGCAAATGGTATCAATAAAACAGAAGGTTTAAAGTGTAAACATAAAGAGATCCAGGGTGTGTCTTCTATGAAATTAGAAATTTCTTTTGGTTTTTAGATACTCAACTTACTCTTTGATCAGACACGTCAATGGTTCTGCAAGTGATTCTAGAAACAGTCAGTCAAGAAAAGCTCCAAAACATCAGGATCAAACTGAGTAGATCATACTTATTATGGGAAGCCAAGGCATTAATAAAATTCAACTTCCCTGCAATGTATATTACTATTAGGGGAGGGGAAGGGCAGGGTGGGGATGGGGGTGGGGGTGGTGGCTGGCTCTTCTATGTACTATACACGATGTGCAGTGATGCACATGACTTCATAAAGGATACTTCTTAGTTGCAGAGCAAATCTGAAGTAGGATTCTGCTGTGACTGAGGTCACCAAAATATGATGCAGGTCTGTGATGTACATTCTTCTGGAAAGAGAAAACAAGTTGACGAAGCTTTCCTTGTGTTTTGGTAAGCATGTCTGTAGGACCAAATGCAAAAACTCCAACAACATCCAAGCCTCCTGTCAACATTCTTGATACCTTTTGAAATAAAAGAAAGGGCAGAATTTTTATAATTATTTCAACCCTGCTTTAAAGTATGAATTACACACACTTACTTACATTCCTCTGTAGGGAAAATAAAATTGAATAAAAGTACCACTTCGAAAAAGAAATTTACATTGGCCTATCCATTTTATATCTATCCTCCCATTGATGACGTAAGACAAAATTTTCCAAACATATTAACCGTTTTCCTAAAATTTTAATAACGATCAAAGTACCACCATGAATGTCTCCCTCAGAAATAAACTGATTTATCTTATACCTGGTCAGATCCAGTTGCATGCATGAGTGTTAACAAACTTCATGTCACATTACTTTTAACAAAATATTTAATATTCAAAAATTCGCAAATCATGTTTGTCCTCCATGTATGTACCTTTCTCTAGTCTCACACTAATTTTTAGCCCTCATCACAGTACACATAAAGCTTAAATGCTACCTTTGGGATATAAAAGGTATGGCCCATAGACATTGCCATATATATGACTGTACACGTACACTTCACAACATGATATATGGGTTATTGACCAAGTGTGAAGTCAAGATGGCTCGATATTGGAAAAGTCCTTTTTTTGCGAGTTTATGGACCGAGACCGAGTCAAGGTTCATAAACTCGCAAAAAAAAGAACGAGGCCAATATCCAGCCATCTTGGCCGAACAAGCTTGGTCAATAAAGGATTTATTATATTGCTTTCGAGGAAATTTTTCTCACAGGACACGACGGGTAGTCCTGAGTGGGCAAGATAGCTCCATCTTGCCCGCTCAGGTAGCCAATCACAACGCAGGATTTGTTTCATCTTGCCCACTCGTGGAGCTAGCCATATAATAAGGTGTTTTAAAGTTATAGCTTGACATAAATATCCACAATTTAAGAATATCCACCTGATGAGCATGCTCTATAATCCAGTTGTTTTCAATCTCATCCATAGTAGCTGGTTTACTTTCTCCATCTAAAATCACATTAAACATTATTTTTATTTATGCTTTACAAACCATTTGGAAACGATGCTAAATTACAATTTTGTGCTTAGTTTATTTGCATTAAGTCCCTTTAACTTTCTAGCCAACAACTTGAGCAAAATATAAGATGAAGGCAAGTTGGAAGAGATGTACTGTGAATCTAATATTTAGATGAATATGATGTACAAAAGGAATATTGGAGGCCTACAGAGTAATTAGATAAAGCAACCATTAGAAACAAAATGAGCTTCAGTATAAGCAGGAATTTATATAAGTAACTTTCTTAAATTTCATTTTACTTTAAGTTTCTCATATACCTGAATTTCCTGATTGTTCTGGTGTCCTGGCCAAATGGAGGACATAGTCTCTTTGTGGAGAGAGCTGAATGGAAAAGAAATAATATTCAATCTCTGCTCATTAATGATAAAACGACACAACTTACTGACTATGATCTCACATGCCCAAAACTGATTAAACAAAAAACAGAATCGTCACCTTAACTTACAACTTAACCAAGTTAAGCTTATCTAAATCCAATTGTAAATCTCATTTTTTTAATACTATATGTGAGAGTCCCTATAAAGCAGGATATAATTATACACACAGGGACACGGTCAGCAGTTACTTAATCGTAAAGGTATTATCTAATTTTTTTTTTTTAAACACTGTATAAGAGAGTCCCTATAAGGCAGGATATAAGAATCATAACCTTAACTTACAACTTAATCAAGTTAAGCTGATCTCAATCCAATTTTAAATCTAATTTTTTTTTTAACACTGTGTGAGAGAGTCCCTATAAAGCGGGATATAATTATACACACAGGGACACGGTCAGCAGTTACTTAATCGTACATGTATTGACGTCTAGGTCCCGTATAAGAGAGGCTTTAAGCCAATCAGCAGACGTAGCATTCTGAAAAAAATACACTGGGTAGCTGGTTCCCCTCTAAGAAGAAAGATGGTCTTTAACAGTTCTCGTGTGTCTGAGCGTTTCAATCGTGGTACTGTCTTGTAGATTGTCTTGTGCGCAGCCACGTTCAACCAAGATTCTTTTTTTAATACCTAAGATGCACTTACCTGTCCAATTATCAAGCCAATTTGCCACTTATGCTTGCCATACAGGGAAGATATATAATCGCCAACGCTTTCCTCGATTATGATAGTTCTTCCCATGGTGGAAACCCTGTTTTGTCGCCGGTGATATTCCTTATATTCGATCATCCGCATCCGCCATGTTGGTTTTATGAAATGAACCGCGGGAACCTGGGACGGTAACTGGACCCCCTGCATCGTTCGACACATGCGCCCCTTTCTTCCTCTCTCTCGTGGTCGCCATCTTAAAGCGGTAAGGCGAAATTTTAGTTGGAATTTTTCCGTTTTTTTGACACTGTTTTCACGTTTACTATCGTTTTGTCTAGATTTAAAACTACCATAGGACATTAAGCATAGATTGAGGTAAAATGTTGTGTGGTTTTCTGTTGATTTATGTCAGAAAGTTCTGTTTTCATTTCGGCTCTTCAGAAGTTCACGTGTGTTGTTCGTTTTGTCCTGATCAAAGTTTTGTGGATTTTTTATGCAATACAATTTCTTTAAGGGACCCTGCTCCTGTGAAGTCGTGTTTGTTTTACTTATTGCATCTTACGCGTTTGTTAATTTGAAGAAAATCTATTATACTGAAATTATTAGCTACAAAAGTCAATTTGCATTACATACATGTGCAACAGGCAGTAATTTCAAACTGCAGGAGTCGAGTTCGTGGAATCAATAGTTTTCATTCAATTTATTACTTTTGGACAGGAAAAATGTCGGCTGACTTACAGTGGATGCTGTTGAGGAAGAACTCCTGTTTCTTGTTGAAAAATCAAGGAACAACATTTACAAAGGTGGGAATTGATTTTATTACTATACATTGAAGTCACTATCTCTTTTCTGACTGGCCAAAGGCGTACAGTGAATTTTCGAAATCAGTGCCTGTGATGTCATCTAGCTGCAGATTATATAATAATCATGTCAAGGACACTCAAGGTCACAGGTAATAATGTCATGTATGACCGTGGTGGATGATTTCTAAGGGTAATCATGTCAAGTTCACGCGCTTTGTGTTGCTCCCCCTCAGTGAAGAAGTAAAAACATGACTTCCATTTTTTTTTTCTTGTCAAGGGTTATCAGCGTCAGCCTTTGGCTTCGGCTGATAACCCCTACCTCGACCGTGATTGTTCTGGATATCACAAAAACCTCATCCAGTAATTGTTTATTGCCATGCAAATGGTGAGGCATTTATTACAACCTTACATGTAAACTGATGCAGCCTGGGCAGAGACCTTCAACATTACCATAGTACCCTGACCAGGAATCATTACTTTCTTTTTCATTTTCAGGAACCTCTCAACCTCACTGGAAGGCATGCATTTAAATATAGTGGATTAGTGAACAAAAAGGTACTGTAAGGTTTCACTTCTTGTTATTCACAGTAGTTTTATTTTACAAGGTAGTTGGAGTATACCTGTATTGGATCAGAGCATGCATTATTTTCCTGTAGATTCACTGTAGACTTGCTGTAGATACCCGGATTTTGCAGAAAGGGTAAAAGCTGAAATACTTCCAACAGAGTGATCTGTCCATTAGTTTTGTTCATGAATTATCTTTTATGAAGCATCATTTCATCAGGAATGTTTGAATTGTGCATAAGTGGAAGTGACAACAGTGTCAGCGCAGTTGGTAGATAAAGAATCAATTGAAATCGGCTGCTACTGTGGAATTTGGTGTGGCATGAGCTGTTGTTAACCTCGAACTCTGCACAATTATTTAGTGAAACAAGCTGCAGACTCCAAATTGAGAAAAATGTTTTTATGTCTTGTTTGTTGTTAGTGATACTGTGTGGTAAAATGGGTCCCGGAAATTGGAAGAGGAGCTCTTTTTTTTTTTTTTTTCTTTTATTTTTTTTACTGTTGCATACAATACTAACATTACTTACACTACTAAGACTTCTTGCAATACTAACATTACCTACAATACTTACATTACTTACAATACTAACATCACTTACGCCACTACTGACATTACTTACAATACAACGGTTACTTACACTACGATTACTACTAACATTACGATTACACACAACAGCTACTACAGAAGAAGAAGAGGAGCTCAGGATTAGCAATAATTTGAAATATATATAAGTGGAGGGTAGCTTCTTGAATAAATTGTAACAAATTGTCTTTGTGTCATTCAATTCTATTAACACTGTTGTTGTGTTGGCAGGCTATTGGAGTTACTGCTGATCCCACTGGAAAGGGTGTGATTCTCTCTACCAAAAAGACCAAGTGTAAGTTGTAACGACCTGACAATATCATTTCATAAACGTTCAGTTAGAAAAATAGCCTGGTGTGATATGTCACAACTTTTGAGTAACAGCTATGACAAAATCTGCCAAAGGTTTTGACATACATGTAAACACTTTCCACAGAATACAGTATTTTTTAACTTTCAAGGCAACCCTGGACACTACAAGTTGTTACAAGAATTTCAATTTTACAAATACCAAACAGAGATAAATGAAATGCTACTTGTAAGGTTAAAAAAGATGATTTTCAATCAATCAATCAATCAATCAGTCAATCAATCAAACAAACTTTATTTATAGAGGGTGGCACTTAACAGTTAAAAACTAATGAACTTGTGGCCCTCTATAAACATTGTTACGATTTTCCCCTTGGTTTTTCTTTTTTTGTAATTCAGTGAGAACTTGAAGAACAGTATCTGTATATAATATACCATTTTCTTTTTCTTTTTTTAATGCCTAGCAGTTTGTGCTTTCTTATTTTTTCAACATATCAACATGGTGTTAGTGATGTTTGTAATAAATTATAGTGTTAAGTAATGCAGATCTTTAGTGTACTTTTAAGTGTAGTTTATGTAGTGTTTTGTGTATTTGTATTTGTATTTGTTAAAAATAATACAAAGCATAAAAGTGAAAAAACAACAACAACAACAAACAAACAAACCTGCAACTCGAAAAAATTGCTTGGTCTTTTCATTAGAAATCTATCTTATTGCATATGTCATCTTGCAGATGCTAACAAGCCTGCTAAGGTGAACTCCAAGGTGACTCTGGCTGGTGACTCACGTCGCACTGTCAAAACCATCAAGAACCTGTGTGGCAAGAACTATTACCGACAAGACCTTGAAGATGCAGCAGTCAGGAGGGCTTCTGCTATCCTCCGCAGCCAGAGGGCCACCACCACTGGTGTGCAGAAGAAGCGAACACGCAGAAAGCGCAACTAAGTGCACACAATGATATCTGCAACCAGATAATAAATTTGAGAACAGTCAATTTGTTGCCTTGTTGTCTTTCTTGTTCCCAGTTTATGCCCATGAAGATTGATTGATTCTTACATACAGTGTAGATGATAATAGTAGACTAGTAGTTACAGTTGTTTTATAATGAAAAATACAGATCACTGTATACATGCACATGTATGTAAGGCAAAAGGGATAAGTAATTTGTTCCACTTGTTTTAACTGTACCCTGGGCAGGTGTGTATGCTACATAATTTACATTATTTATGCAATTCGATTTTATGCAATCCACTACACAGATTGTTGCCATAAATGAATGCTTGATTCAATCTCAAAAATCGTTGAGATTTGTTGGATGGAAAGAGAAAGCTGTGACCTGTGTTAGTTATACAGTTTGATTGTACACTATCCACTACACCGTATGTTGTGATAAATGAATGCTTGATTCTTAAAAATCGTTGAGAATTGTTGTTGGATGGGAAGAGAAAGCTGTGACCTGTGTTATTTAGTGCTAGCTAGTCAGTGTATAATATATCCTTCTTTGACTTTGCTCAGTTATTGTGTAAGAAGTTTTTTTTATTATTACTATTTATTGCCACACACTTATAATATTTACCATACATACACATACATTAATTATAATTTTAAAACAACTACGTACTCTACTTACAGTACTACATTTACTTACACTTCATTACAATACTTGTCTAATGCTTATCTGCATATTAGAAGAAGTTGAAACCAATTACATCTCAAAAAGAAAACCAGAAATCAAAGTGCTAGTCACTTCCCCAGTCTGCACATAAACCCTTAGTATTCTGTTGGTGGCCCCTTTCAATATGATCTTTTGAAGGGGAGACAGGGTTTTTCCACATTTTCAGCTTTGCCATGGGGTAATTGGAGGAAAAGGGTATTTCCAAAGGCCAAGAACCAAATTACCTAGCACTTTACATAATGAGAAACAGTGCATGTACTGCGTACAGTGGACTATACAGGGGGAGGTGTACCTTTTAAAGTTTGATGTACGTGAAATTGTACGTGTACATTGAACCGAAATATAGGAAGGTTCTGCAAAACTTGTTTAGGTGTACGCATTCGTCAGACAAGGTCCATGGATTTAAATGCCTAAGATAAGTTAGTTGAGAACAGGGTTTGCAGTGGCTCAACAGTCCTATTTGAGATTACCGACTGTTTCTTAATGTATCTGGAACACACCTAACAACTAATTCATCCAAGTATGTTAAAGGTTACCCAAACGTTAGCCATTCTATTAGAAATTATTGAAACCTTCCCGTGTACAGTTTTTAAGTCGGAAATATTGAGATCAAGAATGCAATACAGGAAGATAGAACTTACTAACAACTTCAAGCTCTGGTTGGGGTAGTTCTTTACATCCATTTGTCTGCTCTGAGGGTAGCAAGTGTACAGTTTCTCTTAGTCTCCATCTTAATGGAGTGTGTTTGATGATGGTACATGTGCTGATAAAAATTGTTTCTTTTTGATGGTCAAATATCTGGGGCTATCGTTTCGATCTGCTATTTAATGATCGCCAGAATGTTCATCGACACTTCATTGTTCAAGTTGTGTCATGCTTGACGAAGGCTCATTAAAACCAGTTAAACTGAAATAAAGTCAGTTAAACTGAAAATAACCAGTTAATCGGAAAAAAAATACAAATGGCTAGACCCTTTGCAGCCTGCCTGTCAACATATTAGAACGTGTATGATCTCTGCAAACATGTACAACTATGGTCGTACTTTACTTGCAGGGGTTCGGGGTTTGAGAAGTTGGGAAAATAGAGGGCAGGAGAGGGAAATGGGATTCACAAAAAATTTTGCAACCTTGCTTAACATTTACAACGGGAACCACAGGTAGACATCTCCCTCTCTTGTCTTACCGGTCTCCGGCCAAAAGAGCAAAAGTAATTTCGTAAAATTGTAAAGACGCTTTAGACAGCCCGGGAAGGCTAAAAAACATTACACGAGTTGATTAACGTTTCATTTAACTCTATTGGGATATTCAGGCCGAGATGTAATTTAGATATGCAATTTTCAGAGCTTTATTCATGACCCTCATAGATTCTGTTCGTTTCATATAAACAACAGACCCTTTGCACGATCCGGTCACATGGTACGGAATTAATTTCGCTGGGACGCAAGTTACACGGTGGGACTTCCAAAACAAAGGAACTCGTACCAGTCCAGCCAGACTTTCCTTTGTTTTGAAAGTCTCACTGTGTAACTTGCGTCCCAGCTTAATTAATTCCACACCATGTGACCAACACATAGAGTGGTTGGCCTGTGCGGGGACGCAGTATAGCTAGAGGTGTTGGCCCAATCAAATCATGGAACCGATTAGCAAACTTAAGAAAACTTGGCCCAGATTTCGGTCTCTCGACCACGTCAAAGAAGCGGCGAGCATAAGAATAACGAAAATGCTGAAAGTGGAAAATGGAACAACGGCCCCGTGACGCTATAATGTGAAAACAAGAACTTCAGAGGGAACTGAATAATGATAATGTCGATCTTTATTTTCTTTATGCCGTTTTTGTTGGTTTTTTTTTTCCTGGTTCCATATCTCTGACGTTACCTCAAATTGTATTTGCATCTCTGGTCATTTTATTACCACCAGAGGGTGAGACAGATTATTTTGCCAGATCGAGAACACTTAGCCACGAGAAAGTCGCGCTTCGCGCTTGGCTTTTTGCTTCGAGCATCGTGCTGCCCCCCAAATACTGTGAAATAAGTTCAATATCATGGGTTAGGTTAAAAATCAAACTTCAACCAAATTTCCCTGTAGTGGGCTTTTTATTAACTTTATCAAGGTATCAATTATACGCAGTCTTTAAATTAATTTAAGCTAACATGATATAAAAAGGGAGTATATGTGGCTCTCTATACCATCTTCTCTCTTTGATAACTCCTTTTTTTCTCTGACTGTTTGTTCAGATTCTAAGTTCTTCAATTTGACTTTTGATCCTCCTTGATTTTTATTTTCCTTCAAGTATTTGTAGTGTAAAACAGAAAGACTAAGCACTGATAATCGCTGTAAGTCGGTTTCTATTTCCTATTGATTCAGACCGTAATATTTGCTTATGCCACCTCAGTCGACAGTTCCAAACACTTGGGCACATGCATGAATTTATGCTATAGTACAAAAAAATAATTATAATAACGACTCAAAAGTATTTCTTGATAAATAAATAATTTTAGCAAGAGAGTAAAAATATCCTCTCTTGAATTTACCTCTTATTCCAGAATAAAGCCTAATTTATTTTTAACTTCCTAAACGTAAATCTTATTGAAAACTTTTGCAATATGCTGCACTTGATTTCAAAGCAGATCAAGTCTGACTAAGCCAAGAAATTAACTTATAAATTCTCTTTACATTTGAGATTTCGGAATGAGTCTAAAAGTTTTGTCAGAGACCATCCAAAATTTTGAAAGGGAAATTTTTCATATGCGTCTGTACAACTCAGCGGATGTAGTACATTCTCTCTGACATCCTCGATGGCGGAGCTCCAGGGCCTTTGCTTTAATTTGCCGGAATAAGAGAAGGCTCTGGAAACGAGACTGTTCTTATGGCAAGAAACGTCTTTCCCAATGTTTTTCTTCTCTTCTCCTCCGAGACTTCTTCGAACGTTCATCGACACCATTCCTGTTCTTGATATGTCGGTCTTTGTTTCTGAGACCAAGACAGATTCTTGCAAAGATCAACAACTCAAAGCTTCACCGACTACAAGTCACTGCTAGGGTAATTCAGCACTTTGCTGTTTGTCCGTGAACCCCTGACCTGGTTCAGCGTAGCGATTAACTTAGCATTGTTCGAGTCAACTGACTTGATCCTTCTCTCCTGAGCCTCTATAATGACCTGCTTTGCGTGGATGACTTCTTGCATTTCTTTCTGCTCTTTGCGCAGCTCACTTTCTACGCTCACCAAACGATCCAGCAACTCTTTCATTTCTTTATCCTTTTCCTGTCGCAGTTGTTGAAGGTTGTTTTCGCTCTCTGCTAGTCTCTCCTTGAAAGAGGCCACTAGCTTGTGAGTGCTGGATTCTTGTAAGATAAGCTGTTCATGTGTAGATGCCAAAGTTCTCTTTGTTTCTAACAGCTCTTCACGGAGGTCTGAAAGTTCTTTCTCGTACTGTAAAAAAAAAAAAAATGGAAAAGAGGAAAGTTAAGTCTCTTTTTGCTTTCTGTATCGTGCTAAAAAAGAAATATCAGCAACTATAGGGCTAGGTACCGTTGCGCTAACTTCATCGCCTGCAATTTACTCTCTTAAATGGCCGGTGACCCCCTCTTTTCTTTTCGTAGATCACTACCTTTACTAATTTTCTCCATTTTAGACTGAAAAAACAAACAAGACCAGAAAAAAAAAATTGTAGGTGAGAAGTTAAAAATATTTCGCCTTTTCTACTCTCGTATGGCCGAAGTTTTCTCAGTTCGAACATGGACCGGCAAGACTATCATGTATTCTGTTTCAAGGTCTATTCTACCTCAGCGAACGACATCAGCTCCTTCAGTTTACTTAATAGACTTACTTGTGGTGAATTGAACACGTTTACCTGATCTGAATTTCACGAATCTTGCCCCTTTTACTGCTGATAGTCGTACGCTAAGATCGTCTTTAAATAACAAAAGCTTCCAAAAATGCGCCCTATTTCAAAAACGAGCCCAAAAGTTGATCTTTGCCTTACTGCATGGCAAGTCTTTAAAAATCTGTAGGTGGGAACATTTGCACGCGAACGTCCTTAATTAGTAGTTGCAATGAAAACGAATTAACTTGCAATAATCGATCATGTAGAAATAAACGATAAAATCGAACAAAGTTTCAGAGTCGTCATGACGCCATTATAAAAAGTTCAAAATGTTGAATCATTTTGAACTTGATAATGGTGTCATGACGACACTGAAACGTCGTTCGATTCTATGGCTCCTTTTTGCAAGCTTATATGTTATCAAACCTTTGCTAATAATTGTTAGGTTATCATGATTTGGAAATACGAAGATACTTTTATGTTCATGATTGCATGATCATCTCTGTGTCATATATTAGTTGATCGTACTTAATTGTCTCTTGTATTACAAGAGGGGCCATTGAATATAGAGTTAAATAGACCTGCCACGTAGCACCGAAGATCATGCACCATTTTTCTAACGAGACGTTTGAAAATGCCAGAACCCAGCGCTGATCAATTTAAAACGTGTAGTGTATTGCTTGGCAAATAAAGTTTGCTATATTAAACAAAAGTCTGAAAAAGAACATTCGACGCTAGTTTGGGAATCATGTTACAATTAATCAGTCTAGATGAATTACGAGTAGCATGTACAGATGATGCAGGACTCCCGAAATTCTATACGATATTGTGCGATTGACCTCTTTGCTTTCAGAACAAGACAAGTCACTTTCCATTGCCTTCTTATTTCGTGTAGCTATACAATAACCAACTGTATAAAATTAAGTAAAATGCAAGATGCGATTTTTATTGAATAGCCAAATCAAAAGCCATGTCATAAGGTACAGCACAACACGGAAGAACAAAACGAAGACAGTTATAACCTTATTAAGAGCGAGTAGATGAGAAGTATGCATGTTTGTACTGTATAAGGACTAACCTCTGCTACTGTCTTTGGCGGTAGAATGTCACAGCCATTAGCAAATTCGTCCTCAGCTTTAGGTGCCATTCTTTCCCAAGGTGTGCTGTGAAATCAATTAAAATGAACGGAATATAAGACTTGTGAACTTTTTTGACCTGACGGAAAGTTAATCTTTGTTTAACCGAGGAATTCGGAGCACACGGGCTCCGTTTGCACACTATAACGAGAATGCAATGCTAACTATAAACTTCAACTCATGAGTCTGAATTAATTTTAAGCCGTATACTTGTATAGTGCGACATGGGGCTATTGTTGGTAAGTTCTAAAAAGATTTGCCTTTTGTTTGCTTTCGTTAGGTCTAAGGGCAACGTGAAGAAGATTTGCATTTCAATACTGGTCGAACAAAACACTAACCACAACTTCAATCTACTTGTGAGCACAGTTCTTTCAATTTGAAGAGCTCTCAGAGAGGGAGAGAGAATCGTACCATTAAGTATTCTGTTTCTCTTGTGAATATACAATGATCATTTGACTATGAACAATGAAGTTAAATGAGTTGCTCCTTCAAAGCAATTGACGTGATTTAATTACATCTTATATTCAATTCATGGAAAGAATAAGGCTCGATTTCCGCCACTCTGTCGACTCCGATCTTCGTTGGTAATCGAGCCTAGGAAAGAACTTGAACACGCTACAATAGGTTTGAAACTCAATATTTTTGAGTGAACGAGGATGCATATATTTCCCGTGACAACAACACCGGCAGGAAAGGTTATTGTATAGGCATCCAACATATAAGTAATTTATTACGTGTATGCCTTTTGATAGCAACCAAGATAACAATTTCGAGCTCGTAAAAACTCATTTTCACGGAACTTTCCTTTTGGGCACAATATTAAATTTTTCTGAGTTTCGTTTGTCAGATACAAGCAAAATTAGAAACCTCTCATGCCAAAAAAGAGACGGTCGAATAATTGAAGACGTTGCTATACACGAAGAAAAACACCGTTACCTAGCGTCGTTAAAGAGGGGCAAAGTACAAAGTAAAGCCACATTCAATTTCCATCAAAAAAGGCCAAGATAACGAAACAAAAAAAGTGTTTCTTCTTAGGCCTTGTCTGAGAAAAAGGTAGAGAGGAGGAGAAGCCGCAGTAGTATAAATCAGTTTATATGATTTTAGTCGACATGATTCCGCCCAAATGTTTCATAAATCCAGTTTTTTAAAGACGACCAATAACTAACTGTCAATCCAGAACTTTTTTTAAAAAAAGATGTGAATACACCTAAAAGAGTACTAAGAGGATATTTTGTAAAGAGTAGTTGAGAGTTGAACTCGAGAGATGGCAAGAGTATTCTTCAGCTACCGTCTACGATTTTCAGTGAGCGGTCGAACGAAATGAGAGTATGGGAGGGTAAACAAAATCTTACTCGTTCTTGTGGTTCTTGTGGTTGTAAGCTCAATTTAATTCATCTGTTAAGCTGAGATATCTGCTACTTCGTTCAGAATAGAAATTCAACGGTTTTTTCTACTTTTTGCTAAGAAACGGTCGACGTTGTTCTGATCCTACATGATCTCTAGAAGTGCCAAGAGCGCTTATCGTATATTTATCCGTACACAATATCAGCAATGCAATAGTCATTACACTTGTGACGAAAGTCTGACGACAATAATAAGGACATAGTGTAGCTATATTGCCTTGAGAGACCACCATCACGACATAATGGTTAAAAAAACATTCGATCAGTTCATGAGATGGCAAGTTCTTCATTTTTTCTCATACTTACCCTGAACCTAGTATCCTGTCCACCGGACTGGGTGTCCGAGGCATCTTCCGCATCCTTCTCTTTCCTCCCTCAAAGCTGCTGGCAACACTGTGCCAGCTCTCTTCGCTTCCACTGGAGCTGCTGCTGGTCCGCGACGGGCTACGAATCACGTGACCTGCAGCAGGGTTCAGAAACTTTGTCGAGCTGCTACTCGAGCGAGGTGAAGAGCGAGGCGAATCAACTGACGAAAGTGGGGGCGGCGGCTTTGGAGTGGTTGGTCTGGGAGGTGACGTTGTCTCGGGCGAGGAAGTCCGAGATCGATCCGTTATAACGGGAGAGGTATTAACGGGCAAATATCTTCGGGGTAAGCTTTGGTGGCGTGATTCAGCAACCGTCCTTAACTGTTTTTGCCTTGGGCTATCTGATTCCCTTAAACTTGACGTAGAGTTTGATATTTCTCCTTGGTAAATCACTCGAGCGTCACCAGCATTCTCGCCATCTACACTCGAAATGATCAACGGCCCCTCCGAGCGCGACCGACGACGTGAATCCGATTTTTTTGTCGCTGGACGTCTTTCCGACGAACTGCGATCGCGATCGACCGCACCCGGAAGCACGTTGCCAGAATCTTCGGATGCGATCGCCCTCCGATATGATCGCCTACGAAGACTGCTTTGTAAATCATCTTCGTACGATACCCGTTTTCTCGGCGAATCAGAAGGATCTGTATCGGAGATGGGCGAGAGGACCGACTTATCATAACGAGGGACCATTAACTGTTCAGGAGCCGTAGACGGCGTGCTGCCGTTATAAACAGGGTTTGTCTCCGAAGATGTATCGTTTGAGGGCTTTGTTTTCCTTTTATTGGGAGACTTCATGATCCTGATTTGTGAGACTGGAGTCAGAGTGATGTTATTCTTGTCTTGGTCACTCACAAGGTCTGAAGATGACGCCCATTTTCTGTGCGCCAAGAGGCTCTCATTGCCAAGAGCGAATTTTCTCTCAGAATCGTGATAAATCTCTTGGAGTGATTTGAGAATAAACTGTAACGGGCGAAGTGTCTCCACGGCATCCTAAAAAAATGAACAAAAATGTTTTAAACTGAAAACCTATCGGAAAAAAAGTAAAAGTGAAGCCTTAGAGCCGACTGGCTCATAGCAGCCGGAGCTTATCCCGGTTTCTGTAGCATGAAGCGGCTAGGAGTATTTCTACTTCCCCTGGACTGGATGCTAGTCCATCGCAGGCCACTTCCCCGCAATTTGTTAGGTTTCCCCAACAATTCGCGATCGCCGGTACCCATTTATACTCCTGGGTGGAGAGAGGCACTGTGCGAGTTAAGTGTCTTGCCCAAGAACACAACAAAGTGTCCCTGGCCAGGGCTCGAACCCGGACCGCTCGATCAGGGGACGAACGCACTAACCATGAGGCCACCGCGCCGGAAAAATCGGAAAAACGAGCAATTAAAAGAGCTACGTCATGGTTTGCGCATCTTGAAAAGTTAAGCCCAAATTTTTCAAGTTCGTCGTTTACAATCCGATCCGTGTTAATCTTCCCCATCCTTAACCATCTCTGTTCCTATATGGCTTGTTATTGTCCCTTTGCTGTTTTTCTATCATAGTTCATTACTATTTTAAGGTTTTCTTTCAATTTACAAGTAATTTTGTACACGGCCAAAATAACTCAAAATTAATACAGTGACTGAGCTTCTCTAGGGTGGCTGCCAATAGTTTTACGATCGCAAGCGAGCTGGGGACGAAAGCTCAAGTAATCTGCTCGCGCTCGAAGGAAAACGTCAGTGTTTTTATAATTCAAGACCAAAACCCAAAATTTTAACAAGGATGATAGTAAAACACTAATTATTAGTAAAACATTTAATTATTGCTTATTACAAATAATAAGTTTGAGAGGACTGAGTGTAAAAACGAATGCAAAAACAGCATTCAACTGAACATGACACTTGCGTGCGCAACCCCATAAATGATTACCCTATGGAGACGCCTTAAATCCTCTCGGCACCACCATGAGGATCGCCAAAAATGAGTCTTTGAGCATTATAGAATGTTAAAAAACGTAGTGAAGAACCCCGCAATTACCTGATTCATCTTACTGGTCTGATCTTTTAAGATATCAAACATAAGAGCGAGTTCCCGTCCACTGTCGACGATTCCTTCATAATGGTTTTCAGTTGTGTCTGTTATTGTCTGTTCGGAAAGAAGACAAATGAACGCGACATAGTGACATGGATGCATGGCGAACAAAGTATTTATATCAAAGAAGCGTAACCTCGCTAAATTTAAAAAAGTAGATGGAAGAAAACCTGAGGCCCAAAATTAGACGTAACCTTCTCATTGATTGCCTTATTGGTCTGTACGAGTGTTTATGAAATCGTGATTATATAACACGAAGTCTTATTAGCTACCTTGTTGATTTGTATGACTGATTCTTTAAAATTTATGATAATAAAAGAATTGAAAATTTACACTAAGGGCACCGTCATGTGCTTTTAAGGCCCGATAGATAATTTCACTACACTACAGCATTAACTTACTGATATTTCCTCAAGAAACTTCCTCATGTTTACAAATTCCTTTTCCACAAACCCATTCATGAAGCCCATATATTCTTCCTTACCACCAAACCTGCAACATGAAAGAAGGGTTGTTATACAAAATGCACAATACCATGTACAAAGTGCTAGTAACACAGAGCTAACTCAATTTGTCAAGCTCGATTGTATAAATAGCTTCTACTCGACTCTATTCCTCGATAGTTTCTGAGCACAAGTTTTCTGAGATCTTGGCCGCCAATATAGAATCAAGCATAGGTCTTGATACAAGAGAGCCGGGTAGAGAGCCAGGGACTGTTGTAAATCAATTCCACATGGACGAAATTAGTATCGATGGTCATTTCCTTTGTCCTTTCTTTGGGGCTTTGTTAAAACTGAAAAGAAAATCCGTCATTTTGGATTTGAATGAGGAGAGGGCCATTGCGACCACATTGTTCCATCACTATAAGTCTGTTCATGTGGCTTTGATTTAAGCAAAGCCAGAATAGTTTACGGAGTTAACAGTCGAGGACAGTCATTTATTTACCTGGTGAAATTGGCCAAGTTCTGCACCACCTTGGCAATCAGTGTTAAAGCTCTTGACGTTCTTTCATCTGGATATTCTGAATCATGATCAATACCACAGCCTTTTAATCAGTTTCAGTATATACATCTCCAACAGAAGAAACGTTTTACTAAATACTAATATAAATAACAGGTTGCAATTCATAAATAACAGCAAACTACTGTTTCACACTTCGGGAAACGAAATGAATGACAGCACTTACCTTGCACTAGGTGAAATAAACTTGGCGACAGAATTGCCGGGCACAAAAATCGGAGGAAAATTGATCCACTGGTGGAAAAAACAACAACAACCAAAACAAAAAAAAACTTTATCAGTTCGTGCACTTTCAAATTCAACTCGTATATATCCTTTTGAAATAAGGTCTTAAAGAAAGGATTTGTGATTCTCAATGTTGCTATGCCCTAACCTGATTAATTTGGTACTCAGATCCTCACTTCTTCCCTCACACCAGCGGCGAAATTCGTGGAATGTTATTCGAAGATCACTGTGAAGTTGATAAAAGGGATGAAACACAAATATTTAAAACCTAAACAGTTAACAATCAAAGTCCAAAATTATAATCAACGATGTTTCAGACTTTTGAAATAGCGCTGCTTCCATGTTAGAAGTAGGGAGTATTCACTCTAAGAGCACGGAGAAATGTCAAGTTCACCCACATCCAACTTACTAAGCTCATAAGTAGTAGCTCTACTCGCAAAAAGCCTTCCTTGGCAGGTCACATGTTACACTCTTACCTGGGAAAGAGGCAGGCTGAACACATGATCTGGTTCCAGGCTTTCTCGACGAACGTTTTTAGGTTTTCCTTATTGGATTCGATGTTCCCGGATGTTTTCTTGGATGGGTCAACCTGAGGGAAAAAAAAGCGTTATTTATTCAATATTTGTCAACATAAAACGGTAAAAGGCTCAAAAGTTTAGACTACTGCAAGAGATTTGTCTGAAAATGATGACTGCTCATCAGTCAATGTAACAACGTTTCCTGGTATTCTCGAAATATTTTTCATGATGCTGTTAGTGAATGAGAACCTATTGTTACAAAAGACCATTCTGACCAGATCAGCTCCTAAATTTTCTGCTTGAATATGCATGACAGAACGGAGAGAATCTTGATTAAGGTGGTTTCAGGGATCCTTTGTCTGAATTCTATTTACCTCGAGAGACAAAAAATTAATGTTACCTCGCAGTCATCTTCAAACTCGTACACAGATTGAACAAACTCTCCGAGGGTTTCCTGTAAATACTAAAGGACAAAACATTATTAGCTATGACCCAACCACAAGAAAAATACTTAGCTAATAAAGGACGTATATAACTACAGATGAAGTATGGCGGCTCTTGCGCCAGTTTGATGCTCCTGTTGGCATCAAAAATAGTATCGTTCCAAACTTAGCCCTTCTGTAACACAGCTTAATTGCTTCTCATAGCCTCTGACACGAGACGTACTGTGTCCTCTAAGTCACGATGCGCTGTTCATCACAGAAATGGCAGAACAGTCAAAAGAAAATGGAAACTAATAGAAAATACTCTACTATGTATTCCGCGACATTCAACGATAGATAAAGTCATGATTAAGATGAAAAGAACAGCCCAACGTACCGATTCACCAATCATTTTCATGTAGGAATCCATGGCTTTTGTGGCAAAGGAATTACCACGAAATACAAGGTTCTCATCCTCTGTAAAAAGAATTGAAAAGTATCGGCACAAGTCACAAAGACTGGACATCTTCACTCAACAAAAACTACTTAGCAATTAGACCCGTAGCCCGCAAGGGCTACGGGTCAATAGCCCATTCGGCTTCGCCTCATGGGCTATTGACCCGTGGNCCAATTTCGCTACTCGAGGACTATTACTAATAGTCCTCTAGTAGCGTAGCCAATCAAAAAGCAGGATTTGCATTAGTCCACTAGTTGGATGATACTAATAGGAATTATACATTCAACATGACAGAAATGTTTTCATAATCTTACCCAGATTCTTGACTTCCTCCATGACGACACTTGCTAGAAACTCTGTCGCTTTTCCAGAGGCTTGTAGTATTCTTAAAAGCACTCTTGAGATCTCGTCCTGCATTCAAAACGGGTTGATATACAGTGAGTGTCTGAGTGTCATGATGTATTTACTCTCGAAGTCATGATCACTTAGGATTATAATGACTTCAATATTTGCTCACAAACCTTTTGTTTAACGCTGACAACTGGCTCCAAGGCTTTACAAACTGTCATGTAGTTACGCTTTAAATACTGAAAAGTAAGAGCTTGTGGTTAATGCAAATATTAAGGAATTGAAAAATTGTAGCGCGGTTGACACAGTGCGCAGGGCGTAATATTCATCCACAATATACCGTTAACAGGCGTTAGCCAGGTATCACTGTGATGCACATTATAACTTACAAATATAAATTGTAAATAATATGTATCTAAGAAAATATGAAAAAAGAGGCCTACCTCTGACAGTTCATTATAACACTTGACAGGAAGAATTGAGACTTTCTGCATAGAGAGAAAACAAGTCAGATAAATAACTTCTATAGCAATTTAACTGAAAAGAAAACCTTTAAACCCTGAGGAGGCAGCGTGGCTGAGTGGTTAAGGCGTCGGACCTGAAATCCAGAGGTCGCGGGTTCAAGTCTCCACTTAGTGGAGTTGTTCAGTTCCGGGTAGACCCTAGTCCAACTCCTCGGTCATGCTTGTAATATAGCCAACTGGTCGGCCTCCCACCGGTTGGGATTTTTAAGCCTATTATGTTTAGTTGATATATTTGTTTCTTTCAATTTGAGCTAAGCGCAAAGACCAATAAAAACAACAACAAAGGAAAAAAACTACTTGTAAGGTTAGGCAATGCAGTTTTACCTGATATTTAAACCTGAGTCTTATGCTCGACGATTCCCCTCCATTAGTCTTGTTGCTCTCCATGGTAACAGGATACCATTTCTCCACCTCCACACCCATATCTAACGAGTCGACCGCAACATCCACGGAACCTGGGACAGATAACAACGAAACGTAGAAACAGTAAGTTGTGTTGACACACATGCCATACAATAAATTCCAAAGAATAACAATTCAAAATGTTATTAATATAAATACTACAACTTAGTCGCACCTAGCGGGAACGTTTCTTAAACTGCGTTAATTTTTGTTCCGCTTCGTTTCGTAAACGATTTTTAAGTGTCCAAAAGACAGATGAAACTCAGAAGGCGCACTACGAAAACCACCGAACCATGGAATGGGCTCGACAACAGCGACCGCTCCCACTTTCTTCTGCTGACCCACCCACATTCCTTCTCGTTGTTTTGAGCTGGCTGTAAGCAAAAAAATCATATTTAAACACACCCGCTTCTTTCCCTTTCAATTCCCCATCTTTAGTTTGAATTCCTATCTTGTAACCATGGCTCCACTTCGCTTGCAGTCGAAGGAAATGTGGGCGGGTCAGCAAAAGAAAGTGGGAGTGGTCGCTGTACAAAAATTCGAGCCCATTCCACGGTTCCGTGATTTTCGTAGTAACTGACAACATTTTCAATTGACAATGGGAGGTCAAAGTAGGGAGGAAGAAATCAAATTTCTCACCAACAGGCTTTCTTTTCTCCTTCTTGTTTTTGCCATCACTTTCCTTGTAGATCTGCACCGTAATGGTCTTGACTTCAGGTAAATCACTGAAAGCAAGGCCAATACCAGTTTACCACGTTACGCTCAAAATGCACTCTTAAAACGAAAGGTAATTAAATTGACTCCACATAAAACAAGGCTGATGTTGGCGCAAAACGTAATAACTTATAAGGAAAACTAAATAAACATGTACTACATTTTAGCCTGGTGCACAAGAAAAGCCATTCTAGATTATCAGCACAGCGCTCAATAGCCACGCAGACTTTAAAAGTGCGTCTTAAACTCACTTGAAAGCAAAATTTTCTCCCCAGAAGAGAATGTCTGATTTGGTCTTGGAAGACGTTTTAGCGTAGATGACCTTGTCGAAAAACAGCTCACAATAAAACCTGCATGTAAAGAAAACATGAAATGATTACCACTAACCTGAGTATTTAGAAAATAGCCAGAATAGTTCGAGCGCTCTTATTCAGGGGGTTATAACAGAGCTCCTGCGCGCCGAAGGCGACCTAGCGGAGCCCCATGCCCTAGAAAATTTGGTAACCCATCGATGTCCGTACGTACGTCCGGACGTACGTCTGTACGCCACTTGCACTACGCATGCGCGAGCTGAGTCCGATACCTTGAGGAATAAGAGAGTAGCCCATTACTATGGGTACATCTTTGATTTTGGACATCCATGTTAGGTCAATTGACAGCTGTCAAATCAAGGTATCCGCTGACCAGTATCACGTGATCATACCGCGGGCTCAGGCTTAGAGCTCATCGAGGTTGCGTGTTTTTTAGAGTTGACCGACGCTGCCCAGATACTGGTTTTTGATTGGATCGCGGGCTTGAGCTAGGCTATTACTCTCATGAAGAAGAAGGGGGTACGTACAGAGGCAAAATCTCCGCGCGAATTAAACCCTAGCACGTTGCTGATCCAAGAAAAAAAAACCTTTTTTGTTTTTCTTAAGGTTAAGTTATTGCAATCAGGAGCTTCGCTTTTAGGCTTGGCTAAATCTACATATTCCAGGTCTTCAAAGCTGATTGCACTGGCACAACTACAAAGCAGTTGACAAAAGCAACAAAACACACTTATAGTTTATGATATGTATGCATGAGCCTCACTCATAGGTCAGTATAACCGGCAAATGGGAATTATTCGGACAATATCCTTCAGATGTAAACGCCAAGTTTCGACTTTCAAGACTTAATTGGTGACACCTGTAGTTTTTTTATAAATCGCTCATTCACATTGTCACGTGTTCTGTTTTAAGCGGGTACGAAAAACCGCGACGTTGCGTGACGTTTTTTAGCGTCTTTAGCAAAAGAGTTCGATGATATTCGATCAGATCTGTTGGTTCTGGCTGGCATCGGTTAATCTCTTTATACGTTGCACTGGCAACTGGGTTTAACTTCAGTTACCGTGAAATGCCAATTTATTACTTCTAAATACTACCATGACTAATTTTGCCTTACCGTCGCTTTGGTTTGTCAGTGAGTCCCTTTGCCTCTACAATCCATACTGTCAAACCGATATCCGTCCTATACTGTACATCTCTTGTCGGTTGGATCGACTTCTTGATGCTGTAACAAAAAAGGGATAAAACGGATTTAAGACCACTTAACTACTCCGATCTAAAGTAAAATTTATCTCAAGACTTCCAGTGGTCTCTGCCCACCTTTATCAGCTAGCAAAACGTAATGTTCCTCCCTAATAGCTCCTGTAAAACCAGTTTGAACAACTCAACAATTAGACGAAATTAATTCGCTAAAGTATTTTTCTCATTATTCTAACTGAAAGCCACCATAATGAACACAGAACCCTGACTAACGACGATGGTCAGTGGTTAAAGTTATGTCGGGTGTATGTTACTTATTCTTTTTAAAAACAATTTCTTCGATCACAAGCACAGACACACGAGAATAGATTTCCAACCTCATGATGGCAAGGATATTTCGAGACTAACTATTGTTTTTACCTCGATACTCTTTGCTGACGGACCATTTTGAAATTTTAATTCCCTTGAAAAGTCCGAATGGGTCGCGACGTTGGCGAACTCACTCGGCGCGAATGACAATGTATTCCTTCTCGCACCATTATTTAAGCTTTGAATACTGCTGTCACTCACGTAATACATGAAAGTAAAAGAGTGTTAACTCCCGTTTTTGAGAAAAATCCTCTCATGAGCCTTACGTAACAGCTTAATAAGGCGAAAGTTGGTTTTCATTTCGGTCTCGCTGTTTGAAGACTGTCTCGTTTGTATGACTTGCATTTCCTGATCACCGGTTATCATCTGCTAGTATGACAACTCTGTTCAATGTTTTGCAGTTGTGTTTCTGACAACGTGCGCACGGGTAAACTAACCGCCGCTCTCGGTAATTCTACACGGGAAGAACAGTTTTCCGTCTTATTGCGCCTTCTCTCCGTGGCCGCATCGATCGCTCTCTTGGAACAAGCCATGACGTAAGGGGACGACTGTTGCATCACGCGGAAAACTGAAGCTGTCTTTCGATTGATCATTTCATCATTCTTACCAGTCTGCGATATTGAAAACAGCTAACAAAACAAACTGCTGCTGTTGTCACAAGCCAAACACTTTGAGCCGCTGTAACTTGCTATAAACATTGTCAGGATGGAAGTGAAACCAAAAGGTTTTTGCGGAAGTCGCATTGACTGATGTCATAATAGAAGTAAGCAGGTGCTTTATAATGTAATTGATCCGAGGTAAGGTGACTATGCTATGACGTCACTTTCGGTTTGGATCACGTTCAAAAGAGGATCGACATATTTGAAGCAGATTTTAGGATCAATAAGGTAAGCAACGATCAGCGCGGGCGGTTACGGTAAGCTCGAAATTGCTGTCACGTTAGAACATTGGTTTCCCCTTAATTTTTTTTTTCGTCTGCCACTGATGTAAATACACAGATCTCCCTCAGCTGTCGCTTACCAAATAAACAAATGAAAAGTTTATGACGTACTGGCATGCCCAGTAAGTAGATATAATAGACAGCAGAGGGTGTAATCGACCTCAACGGAAACAGAGGTGACAGAATATTCTCTTTCATTGTCGTCCACCTTCAAAAAGAGCAAACAGACTTCTAAAATTACCAGTATTACAATTAATCGAAGATGACATGCAATTCTTCTTATGTTGCCGAAATCATCGATACGTTTGAAACGCTAACGAGCGAACCCATGTCAGACTTTTTTTGGGCGATTCCGATCTCATTAGATCATATCGGTTTGAACCTTTAGAAGAACTAAACGGAATAGGAAGCTGAAGAGGGACACGAATGGCCAAATTTGAACAAAATTTTAAAGGGGTGTACTACGTTTTGTCGAGCCAAGTTAAGTTAGGTTTTTTTGGTTTCATTTTCAACTTGCAGCGTCGACAAGGATCGTCAAAGTAAACTTAACACTTTCGAAACAATAAAATAACTTTCATGCTGACTACGAATTGAAGTCCGCTAAAATCTTTTGCCGAAGGTTTTATCCGCTTCGTTGCACCAGGACTTGAAACAGCCGTGAGAGCTGATACTAGGCCCAACTTCGCGAAACGCTCCCGCCATTAAATCGCCGGTATTATTTCCAGAAACACAACACAATGTCTCCGGCCCGGGCTCGAACTCGGACCAGTCTATCCAGAGTCCAGCCAAAAAAACATATGGCCACCTCCCTCACCCACCTGTACCAGCCGTGGAAGTGAATATTAGAGTGGGAATAATCTTCCGTATTTGAGAGCAAGAAAATTTGAATTGACTTGCAAATTTTCAACAGTGAGCATGACTTGTTTACCTTACAACCCATTTCTCAAGCTCCTGCGAACTTCGACACGAGAAGTACTTGGTTTCATGCGGCGTGGTTACTTGGAAACAATGCTGCCTCGAGAGAATGCTGGGATGGATAGGGCGGACTGTCACGTGACCACTGATCGATAGGTCCACGCTGTCCTGTGTAAAAGAACAATATCATTAACTGATAAGCTGTTTTCTAAGAGAGGATACAAAACTTGAAACAGCTAAAGGAAAATTTCTTCTTGGAAGAAACCCGCTGTGGTTTATTTCAAATTAGTGCATAACGACGGCATGTTTGATTCTTGACAGGAGGTTTCCCAATACAATTTTAAATTGTTTATCGCATGACTAGTCTATATGATGATCACAAGTACTGCATTGTATCCTGACAAAAAAAAAACATTGAATCTTGTGTGGGATAAGTTAAATTAGCATGGGACCAAGGAAAACCCAGCGGAAGAGAAGCATTAAACCGAATTTCAGCCATACAGCAACATAAAGAACTAAACTGTGGCGATTTTATCATTGGTTATCAATGTTTACTTTTCCAACCGACGAGGAGACAAATACAAAACGGATACGGTTAAATTTATTGACCATAAGACGTCAAGAACCAACCAACCAGAGCGAGCATTAGACCATTCTACACACCAGCTGTAAAAAGAGCTTTGATGTGTGTTTTTGTTTGCTTTACTAATTACATCGAGCTGAACCTAAAATCTATATATAGTTGTGATTTTAGAACTGACGGAAGCTTCCTTACCAATGGAATGTGTTCAAATTTCACAAACGGAAAAGGTCCCTAACGTGACATTCGTTTCTAATTTGCCCATTGTCTCCATGGCGGTACCGCACACTATTGAATTTGCTGGCGAGTAAACAATTTAATGCAATCGCTATATAAAACAAAGGGCTCTATCCGGGGCCGGGTACATTGTTCAAACAATTGATCTCATCACTACAAATATTTCCATAAACAACTTCCAAAGTTACATGCCTGACAAAGAAGACAGCAGTTTACTGAAGTGGTCGTTTCGTTTTCCTTTCCTATTCGAAAACAATACCCAAACTGAACGTTTTGGCTTTTCGTTTCTGTGGGACAAACGCTTCTATGATCGTGATGATTACAATACATTCTTGGGAGTTTGATTTTGGTCTTTGTCGGTGAACAGAGTTGTGCCCTTGTCTGTCGTGTATACTGTTCAGCTGTTTACATTTGACATGCGTGCACAACTGCTCAACGTGGCGGCCTCTGTAGCCCGAACTAGTAACACAAACATGACCCTTAATCCATTGGCTCAAAAGACAAAGTAAAAAGTAATCTTTGGACGTGCTTTGTTAGGTATCATACACGCAAGGAAGACTCTTAGTAACAATTTTATTTCCCACTGACGATTATCAACATGCATTTTTAATACAAATACAGCACGTCGCACTTAACACTAAATATAACATAGCGATTAAAATGAACATTTGAAACCGAAACTTTCCCTTAGTTTCTTCGTTAACGATTTGCGGGAGAGAAACGTTCATCACGAGAGGTTTGAATACTTGGATGTAATGTTTCGAGTGAATAGAAAAGTCAAGTTTTTGGTGAATCGTGAAGCAGAAATATTAATTCAGAAGACTATTGAGGGCGGGATGATATATACGAACGTTGAAACTCAGACATCTGATTGTGTATTGTCTTTTATAAAATGTTCACAGAAACGTAAACAGAGGTAAAGAGATAGCTTGGCTGACTATGCTCTTCAAATAACAACATAAACAGATTTGACTAGATCCATGACCCGTTAAAGACCACCCTAATATCGCTTCTGTACTTTAGAAGCACTACTCATAACAATGGGTTACTTACTGATGTTGTTTTCATTTTGTTATCCAGTCCTTCGTGTGATCTCCATCTTGGGATGGGCGGCGGACTCAGAGTCGAAAAGCCACTGCAAATTGAAGCAGAGATTTACGAAATCACTACAAACGTTAACTTCGATATCGATCTTTCTGTGTCGCGCCCTAAAGCTCATACGGCCTACAGCATAATGACCAAACAGTGAGCTTGCTGTCAAGGCAGATCACTGCTAATTTATACAACTGTCGCGAGCACCCAATAGGCGAATCGGTGACTAAATTCAACATAATTAACTGAGCTTAATAACGAATTGGATGAAATTAGGCATGATTTTTATACGGCGGCTAATTGGGTGAAAAATCAAAGTGTGCTCAAAAATATGGCGCAATAAGAAATATCAACAATGAGCTGAAAAAAAAAATAAAACAAAAAACAAAACAAAACAAACGGTAAAAGGAATACGAAACAAGAACGAACGAAAGTTAATTTATGCATAGCAGTGTCTCTAAGTATTTTTTGGGATCTGTTTAGGTGAACAATAACTCATACTATATAGTCATCGTCGTCATAGAGAGAACATCTTTGAGGCAAATATATTACGTGTTCGGTTCATTTCATGTGCTGTGTCTGGTGTTTGCTGACGGGTTAATGGTGCAGTTCAAAAAGTTTAAAAGTTACACGGCAGATTTGCACGCAAGTTTCAAAGGGCGGAAGAGCTGGTATGACGCTGTGTACAAGTACATGACCACACAACATCTCGATAGATCAAACAAATTAAATAAACGATCCTCCTATGCTCTTGGTTCATTAACAGATTTCTACTGTTTAAACTTGAAAAACTGCAAGAGTGTAAAATGTGTGCTTCATGCCACTCCACCCATTGAGAAAGACACGACACGATAGCAAAAACTGTATACACAAGCTCCAACCCTCCCGTCTATACACACCGGTTATATCAAAGAGAGATGCGCAGGACATGAGAGCATAACAGTATAGCCCTTGGAATTGAGACAACTACGTCAACATCGGAACAGGCGAGGAAATAGAAAAGTATAAACTGCAGCACGGAAAGGGATTGGTTAACGTGTCGAGACTGTCATGTAGCTTCAGAAATCAAAATCGCTCTGAAGAGTAATTTGGGTTTGAATCATAATGGACTTAACGTTGATACAAACGACTTTGCGGGCGAGACAATTTGCAAGAGGCTATATTGAGGAACGTTTGCAGTCCTTGACTAATTATCGTCAACGGAAGCCGAAAAGGCTTTCTCGCGCAATATCTTGGTAGCGGATAGCAGCTTACCGTGTTATGGCTCTGACCGTTTGACTTGCCTCCGACACGTAAATACCAGGCATCTGCATATTTTGTGCAAATTATGAGTCGTTCATGACATCTGCCGTCACATTAATTACCACAGTTTGCTTCTAATTGCTGCAGCTGAAAACTTGCCTAGCACCTCAAGACAGCATATCCGAGGAGAAAAAACTTGGTATGCTTTAATGGAAGATCTTTGGCCTCACGAGCGCTTTCAAATTATAGGAATACCGTTTTAAAGCAATCACAATACCAAGGGATTAGCGCGTTTGTTCGGAATTTTCTCAGCTTTTGTATAAACGCTTAGTTTAGTTTATTAAAGTAAAAAAATTGCTTAAAGACACAACTACCAATAGGAGTGAAGAAGTAATTAATGGCGCCATGCAAAGAGCTTTTTAATGAAGGTAATAACGTATATAAACCCATTCTTTATAATATTCTGTAACTTATTAAGCCCAATTACGCGATTAAAAATGAAATTAAAAACCTCGTGTACAATGGTTTTGCAAAAAATGAATTTCGTGACGGGATATTTACGTGTGTAATTTACGGCGAAAGGAATTTAATAACGTTGAATAAGGGAATTAAAAACATGCAATTGTGGGCAATTCCAGTGTCTTTTTTTTTTTTTTTTTTTTTGCTCTGTTTGATGTTTTTTTGCAGAAATCATATATACTAATGACAAACAATGCACATTAAAAGCAGAAGAACCCAAGGTCTCATCTAAGTTTAGTGCTACGCCTGCACTCCATATAGTACCGCCACTCGAACGCTTTTTGCGTGTGTTTACTTTGAGTCAGTAGTGAGTCTTTAAAACCTTTTGAGCTAGGAAAGCAATGTTCCAACATGTGTAGTTTAATTTTTCTGCGGGGAGAAAGGGGTAGGGGGTCATAAAACCTTGCTTAGTGGGGTTTAGAGACTTATATGCTCCCACAAGGAAACCTACATTTTCCGGCTAAAAAAAATAACTCGTGCCAGCTAGCTTATTTTCGGAATACGCCTGTATTTTTGTGTCCAATGTTTTGCAGCAGGCCTTCAACAATACCAGAGGAAGGAACTGTGAATGTCCGTGATGCAGCATTTTCACAGACCGATTTATTTTTAGAATTCACTTCCCTGTTTACCAAACGTTTCTCTAGTCGCCCACAGAAACCGCCAAGAGATCTAGGCAAAGTGCATGCATGCAACCATGACTTTTCAGGACTCCAGATCTCTAGAACGAAATCTAATCTCGAACATAAATCTGGTAAAATATAGTGGAATTTAAGTCTCTATGTACGCTTTCACAACTTAACACACTTGGATATATACTCTAAGAGTTTCAGTTACGTACAGCTTTCTATTTCCCAGAACATTCAATAAAACAACAGTCTGACGACAGACACATTTAGAAATTCTTTTCACTGACGTAAAATTTGATGCACTTGAGTCCAATCTTTAAAAACTTCAGCAAGCTTTAACAAGTGGGAAATGTCAATAATCTGGATTAGCAATAAGGTAGTCGATGGTCACAGCTGATTAGATGCTTCAAATTGGCATAAAATTTTAGCCACCTGCTCCTGTTAAATTGTGACAATTTTCGGCGTTCTCTCCTTTTCTGTTGCTTTAAATTTGCTAATTATATCGACGCCCTTATCTGTTCTGGTACACCTAAGTTTTTTAACCTGTATATGACACAGTTAAGTGTCAATTCCATTTATTATTATTTTTTACAATGTTAATTATCTTTCGATATCCGTAAGCTTCTCGACTGACTTACCCATCATCATTGCTGGCTCCTGGTAAAAACAAAGTCCTTGAACGATGAGATCTTATCCCATCAGCAATCTTCTTGGAAATGTCCTGTTAGAAACAGTTTAATCATTACACCAGGATTTTAGTTTAGTAACTGTGGCGTTACGTCGCCTTTAAGTGAACTTTCAGAAAATATCAGGTATTTGATAATACTACTTACAAGGAATATTTTAGCGCACGATATTTCTGATACAACACAAGAACGAAAACCGTTTCGTAACAAATTTGAACACGAGCAAGGCAGTTTTAACGCAGCAGCCGTCGCGAGGCTGAAAATTCTCGAAAACGTTATTTTAATTTCCAATAACACCTTTTTAATTAGCTATTTCTGAACAAACTGTATTTGTGTTTGTACCCGTTAATATCGACAGCTACCGTGTATAGACGCGATAAGGCATTGTAAAGGAAAAAATTGTAAAGAGAAATCACATAGAGTTCATTGTCAACTTGAACAAAACACACACGAAACCTAATGATGTGTACAAGTCACTTCACAGAGTGAAACTCATTGTCGAAAACCGCAGGATCATTTAGCTGTATCGAGGTGATATTGGCCTCTTTTTCTTTTTCGGCGCTGTCACACGAAATGTGAATAATTAACAACTTGGAGAGCGCGCCAAACATAGTGAAAATTTTCGTTGCTCAGTTCGATCCATCTATAAAGTTTTGTTCTTTCGCGAGATAAAAACACAAATTAGCAGGTTACAGCAAAAGATGTTGCATACGACTGTCTATATAGTACACCTACAAATCTGTCAAAGTTATTTCAAAGAGATGCAATGCAAGGTCATAGCATTACTTATTCAGTACTCAATCACGAAAATGACCGCACATAGCGCCCGCACTTCAATAAATCTACTTCGCTATTTGAGGTTTCACCGCTAACACGAACACCGAGTTTACTTTAAAAAAATTCCCTGTCACGTGCTGTAAGTCGTAATTTAGAGATTAAACGACTTGCGACAGCGCAGTTAAGCAAAGCAGAGACATTAATTACGACACGAGTTCAAAACCATCAGTAACACTTACCTCAGACATACAGTTTAAAGTGAAATTGTACAGTATAGAATTTGTTACGTGGCCAAATTTTGTCGGGCTATAGATCAGTTGACAGTCGCGTGATTATTGTCTCAAAGTCACAGGAAGATGTGTTATTATAAATTTCAATGCATGCCTTGTTTACCACGCCGCGCCTGTTTGAAGAAATGCTGAGAAACAGTCAGGTCCAGGCTTTGACCGTGAGCAAACCGGAGGTGAAATTCAAAATAAATAAGCTGTTAAGGCATTTATGTTTCGCTATTGAAATTTAACAGACAAAAACGGAAACGGAAAGGAAGTCAACGAAAAATCCCGAAAGATTTACGCACAAATTTGTCTAGCTTTTCAGTTAATCTTGACAGCGGATGACAGCAGAAAAAATCCACCTAACACTTGAGTGGTCGGTTTAGATTTAAGGAAAAAAGCCAAAAAGATTGAAGGGATTTCGTCGTTTGGAAAATAATTTGATATTCTCAACGGTAACTGACGTGGGAAATCATAACATAAGCGGAAAAGACGACAACAAAAGACACATAAAGATGGCCTAAAGCTAAGCACAGCTAAACTTTATAATTACATTATGGTAATTTGACATAAAAACCATTAGGTCCCGTGCCACATTTTAGCACAGAACAATACAATTTCTAGATTGCTATCTCTTAAGCTATTACTACCCACTGGACAAATTTGCAATTCCAATTAAATTGGTGCAACACCACAGCAACATTTTTCGTTCAGTAGTTTCCACGACTTACGGTGCCGTAACTGTGTTCTTAAGTTAGACATTGGCGGTAAAATATCACAGTGCCCTGTTATCGACAATTTCGTTTATTGTTTTCGTCATTAGCCCATTCGACAATGTACTGACATAAATGTTCATTCACTTTTACGTCGTATACAACCAGGTGGATGGCACAAAAGAACCCTTAAATATATTAGAACTTATCACATATCTGGTTGATAAGAAGTACCCTCGAGAGTACTGTAACAAAGATTTATATGAATGTGTCATTTCCCTTTAGAATTTTAGAGGGATAAGTTATCGCATAGCTCTTACGAAATGGCAAAAGCGAAGAGTAAAAAAAATTATCCCCAAGCATTAAAATTTGCCAAGGGAGCTGAAAAAAATCCTATAGCATTCAGTTAACATGGCGCCTTAGAGAAAGCACTTATTAATATAGGACGACTGGTAATTGTAAATGTTGGTATGGCTCAAAAGTCTTGCGGTACATGGTGAATAAACATGAATAGGTCTCCATGACAGGAAACTTACACTTAGCTTAAATGATGAACGGCGGCCATTCTGTGTTGCCAATGCGTCTTCAGAGCGGCTCCGGCGGCGTGATAAGCGGTATGCGCGGGAAAGTCCTGCAAGAAATAACAACACTGTCGAGTAAACTCAGTGTTATTCCCGATTGAATCAACACAAGAAGGCGCTGGAATCTGAAGCGCGTGGCCTGATACTGAAAAGCCTTTCGATAGTGATCGAAGGTCACATTAGAAGCTATTAGAGAAGAACAAGCCGGCCTAGGGCAGCTGGCATTCGTTTTCAGACGAGGACAAAATGATGCACGCAGCTTTGCCACAAGACCGACAGAGGGGGGAAGGGGGGGCTGGACAATACACCATTTAAGGCCGCACTAATGTCAATGATGTAGCAATTTTAACTATTGTACTCTTGGAGCTTCTAAATGTTGTGAGCAGTCTGGTAGAAAAATAGTTATCTCCCTTCTTGAATTGAGATGAGACCATCGTATAATATGCCTTAAAATCAGCACACCTAACTTGCAAATCACTTGCTAATTACTTAGTAAAGTACTCCTTATATTTTCCCTCTTAAGATAGAATCTGTATGCACTGGCGAAGTCAAAGGTATATACTGCTTTTGCGTGGGAAAACATCTAAACCTAGTCATATGCCTTTAACAGTGGGTTCATACTATGGTTTTAGTCTGTGTTAGGCGCATACCAAATCAGTCTATAAATTTGTTAAAGCTCTGTTCAAAAATTGGCCCTATTGTTTGTACATTCGCGCTTCGTAATCCGTACCAGTCTTCCCCAGTTTTAACTGTCCCCTCTCGGGTTTGATTTTACTATTGTTATGTTTTCAGTTTTTTTCGACCTTTGTAAACGATACATCAGAGGTCTCAAGGCAATTTTGTTCACTGCAAAATATGACTCAATATACTTAATACGTTGCGACATAAAGCTCAATTAACTTTTTAAAATACCAGGTGTTATATTGAACGAAGAAATCAGAACATGTGCCCACTTCGATCGAACGAAAATTATCATTAGCTTCAATTTTTCCATACGTTATTAAATTACATTCAGATTACTAAGACATAGACAATTCTCTTTTTAACGTCCGGAAGTAAAAATCTACCAGTAAAAGTCATCGATTGCCTCGTCCAGGATTGCATTCGGTAAGTGTTGTTGCAAGACGTTTTAATTTTACTACACTGACCGGAACAAATTTTCATGAGTTATTTGGGTGGAAGTATAGCAGTAAGCACTCAACTTCTCCTTGAAAGAGAAAAACTAACTATTCAAGGTCTTTTGAACGCGCGAAAGACTAATAATTTGACACGCGACCTTGTAAGAATGCAAGAACCTAACTTGCTTCGCTTGAACTGATTCAGAAGCTTCACTTACGCTACAGTGATCGAAGTGACCGGTAGTTATTCTCCAGGGCCCGTCCACACTACGCCGGAGGAATGTACGCAGGTTTCACTCTGAAGACGCAACAAATGTTTTCCGTTCACACTACGCCGGACGAATTTAAAAACGGTGCAGCAACAATCACCGGTCATTTTGGATTTGTGTTTCAAAAAACACTCGGGCAGGGAAATCACATGAGTACCGTGACGTCATCGTTTTCAAAAAGCTCCGTTTGTTTTCTATCCACACGAAAACGAAAGGTCGGCGTTTTCAAACGCCTCCGGTTTGATGAGCGTGTTCGAAAAGCTCCGTTTTCGCGACGGATTAGTGGACGGTAGGCCTAACCGTAGAAATAAAGCTGCGTTTTCAAACTCTTTCGCGGTAGTGTGGACGAGGCTGCAGCGATAACTCAATTTCATTTTCTTGCGATGTAAGCCACAACACCGGTACGAAGCAGATTTCAAGTCTTTTTGGGTCACCTTTCCAGTTTTATGAAACTTTTAGTCATCAAAGTATTTTAATTGACCTTCTTCAGTTTATAGCATACTTGATAGAAAATGCTCCTTATACTATTGGTCAGCGAGGAACTCATTTGCGCTAACCTTACTGGTCTCGTCCGTACTATTCAATAGCTTCACTGGAACAATAACGCGTTGCCTGTAGTTATAGTTATTTTTTATAACAACTCTTCCTTGTTTCATTTTGCTCACGAGGCGTAAGTAATATCAAAAGAACACGAGCGGTTTCGTTTGGGTCATCTTACCAGCATTATGGGTGTTTGATGTTTTTGATTGTGCATTACAAGTTTACAGCATTTTTGACGCTTCTTCTTTTGTGGTGGACGGGAAGTACCTTAATAAATTACAATCTTTAGAGAGGAAGCCACATCAGCCTTAGCTGGATTTCATGCAGGTCCTCTATCCTGGTCCAATTGGAATTTGGAGATGTTGGTTTTTGTTATATTGCCTGTACTGTTGATTATTTTTAGTAACAACTCTTCCCTGTTTCATTTTGCTCACGAGAAATTGAAATTTGGAGATTTTGATAATATTTCACGTCAATTAAAACGACTACGCATGTGCCTGGTTTCTTTTGGATCTTCGTACCAGCTTTATGATTGTTATTTTTTTTTTTACATGAAGTATTATGATTAAACTTCGTCACTTCATAAGATCCCACTTGTGAGATATTCATTTCAAGCGGTCAGCGGGGAAGTTTTTTTTTTCGCATGAGCTAAGTTCAGAAGGTCCCTTCAGCGACAATGTTACCTGCAGCCATTTTTAATGATAACGCCCGGCTTACACTGATTTTTGTGTGGTAAGGAAAGTGTAAAGACCATGCCGTCATGCGCTTTGTTTGGATCACCTTTCCAGTTTAATGATTGTTAATTTTCTCAATTGAAATATACTTGATTAAACGTCATCCCTATACCCAGATGTGAAATACTGTTCTTTTTCCGGTGGTCAGCTTATTAATAGCTTCTGTTGTCACGCCTCAAAGAGAACGCCTTCGTCAAAATCCTCATTTGGTTTCCAGTGAGCGACTTTTTTACTTTTGTGACAACAGAACCATAATAATCGGATGTTGCCGGACACGCAATATTTCATATTTACTATCCGAGATCGATGGGATTATCAAATTATCAGTTTTTTTTAACCTAAACAAGCCACAATCCTAGCTGACCTGAGAAGGAAGGATCTTTTGGTAGACGAACGAAACAATCCAATCATCGATAGCGAGTAATTATATCGACATATTGAGGTCGATTCTGATAAAGTTTCTAGAAACGGGAAAGTTTTAAAGAGAACTTGTATGTAGGCAACAGCAAACACATCAAACAACACAAATTCCGCAAAACATAACAAAATAAAAACAAGGCTTAATATTTCTGTTGGCTTTCAAGTCCTAATATGGGTAAGTTGATTCGAGCTGGAATAATGTATGCCAAGAAGTAACATATTTTACTTTTGAATGAATCAATTGATCAAAATGCTTTCAAAACAATTTACATTGTTTTACCTTTACTTCTAGTCCAATTTCAATGCCTTTTTGGAAATTAAAACGTGGCATAAACGTTCGTTTTAAAAACAGCATTAATATTGGAAGTTAAATTGAAAATTTATTTCAAATTCTCTTTGATAACAGTTTAAAAAGATCAGCTAATTTCTTGAGGAGACATGACAATTTCAGGAAATATAATTTTCCTACTCAAATGATTAATCGCTTCCTTTTAATTCTTTCAAAAACTGCTATAATAATGATAATAGTAATAATAATAATAATAATAATAATAATAATAATAATA